TGCTGCCTTCCGTTTTCCCCAGTGTCCACTTAACATGTGGCCCAGGGATCGCGCTCGAGAACTTTTATCCCAGAGGAATGACCACTTATATCCACAGAAAAACCTACGTGCGATTGTTTATAGAAGCTTAATTTGTAGTAGACTGAAATGGGAGAAAAAACCCAAGTGTCCTTCAGTGGAAGAATGGTTCAGTTGTGCCGTGGAATATTATACAGCAGGAAAGAGGAATGAACTATTCACACACACAACAACCTGGATGAATGTATGTGAAGGGCAGTATGCTGCGTTTTTTTTTTTTTGTTTTGTTTTGTTTTGTTTTTTAAAGTTAGTCTCCAAAGGTCACACACTATATGATTCCGTTTGTAGAACATTCTTGAAATGAAAAATTACAGAGATGGAGTTAGGGATGGCGGGGGGAACAGGAGGTGACTGTAAAGGGGACACGGTTGAGGTCTCCCCAGCAGTGGGGCAGTCCTGAGTCTTGATGGCGGCGGTGGTTGCATGAATCTACACCTGAGCTAAAATGACAGAACTGCGCACACACATGCTGTGCCAAGGTCCACTTTTCTGGTTTTGATAGCGAGCTATTCTTAGTGCTATAGTTACGTAAGCGTTTTTACATACATAGTTATGTAAGAGATAAGCCTTGGGGAAAACGGAGTGAAAGGTGCATGGGATCGCTCTGCTATTTTTAAAACTTCCTATGAATCTGTAATTCAAAACTTAACAGCCAAAATAATGTTCCATGTGTGGCTCACCTTGTATTTCCCTTGGGAAGTGCTGGTTTGGACACGGAAAAGGCTCTGGTAGGTCATCCGAGCCAGTGAGACTCCCAGGACCGCAGCCCTCCTTGCCCCCCTCGCCTGTCTCCCTCTGTCCTGTGAGTGGGCGGGGTACGGCCAGGGATGTCCCGGCCAGGTTAACAAAGAGAGAAGCTTCATTTACAGTGACATCAAGCGCCTCCCAGAAAACACCTGTTTCTTTGAGTTACATTTAGCTACCTGTGTTCCAAAATTATGAAGTTTCTATTTTCCAGTGTTTCAAAGCTCCTTACTTTTTCTCAAGCCCAGCCTTTGGAGATCACATTAAAAAATAATATTTTTCCCTGGCCGGTTTGGATCAGCAGTTTGAGCCTCAGCCCACAGACCAAAGAGTTGTGGGTTCGATTCTGGTCAAGGGCACGTACCTCAGATGTGGTTTGGTCCCCAGCCCTGGTTGGGGTTGTGCGGGAGGCAACCCAATCAGTGTGTTGCTCTCACATCAATGTCCCCCCCCCCCAACTCTATCTGAAGATAAATGGAAAAATATCCTCGGGTGAAGACTTTAAAAAGTTAATAATTATCATTTACTACCTCACCCCCATTAGGACGGCTGCTATTGTTTTTTTTTAATCAGAAAATAACAAGTGTTGGGGAGGGTGTGGAGAAACCGGTGGGACTGCTAAGTGCTGCGGCCACGTGGAAGACAGCAAGCGGCCCCTCGAACAGTGAGGCGTGAGACCCACGAGGCCCAGCAGTTCTGCGTTGAGGCGCAGAGACCGAAGCGGGGGTTAGGGAGCGGTCCACTGGTACCCCTCCCATAGGGATACGTGGACGCCACCCTGTGCCCAACCACAGACGAACAGGTGGACAGTGGTCCATCCAGACCGTGGAACATCGTTCAGCCTTGCAAAGGGCGGGCATTCTGACTCGTGCTGCGGCACGGGTGAACTGTGACGACATCATCTCAGTGAAATAAGCCAGTCACAGAAAGACAAGTCCTGTGTGACCCCATGCATGTGGGGTACTGGAGTAGTCACATTCATATGAAGTAATCCTTTTAAAAATGTCCTGTGTACGTTCTCCTGCCATCGAGTGAGCCTGTGCTTCCGTTGCTGCCCCAGGACCCTTGCCTGAGTGTGAGGGTCTGTGCTGGGATCAAGGGCTGCTCCCCGGATTCTCTCAGATCAGTGCTTGAATAGCAGCAGGCTTTAGAACACCGTGTTTTTGTAGAAAATTCGTGAAAAACTCAAAATAGTCTGTTGAGGGTTCTGGGCTTTCCACACGGGGTGGCGGTGGGGCATCTTCACAGCTCAGTCCTGGACGGTGGGCATTTGCAGCCTGGAGAAGAGCCAGCCCCATCCTGCCTGCCTGAGGCCCGGCTCGGGCACCTCAGCTCCTGTGGCTCCTGGAGCTCTGGTCCGTCGCTGGAGGGATGGCCCGGGCTTGGCACTCATGTGGCTGCTCCCGCCCCGGGCAGGTGTGCCACCGTGTTGAACCTGGAGGGGCCACCTGCCTGGTAACCACAAGGAAACCTGCTCAGGTTGTTCAAGATCTTTCCCCCATGTAGAATGTGCAGGGTTTCCCTGGGGAGCTGAAGCATTTGACAGCTTCTCCCCAGAATCGGAAGATGAGGGCACATTTGTTTGGCCAAATCTGGATCCTGCCACCAGCCCCCTGTGTCCTTCCAGCAGCCCAGACTGTCCCTCGTCCTGCAGCGGTCCGTGGAGGAGAGGGCTCATGCTTACCTGCCGCCCAGGTAAAGCAACCCTTTAGCACACCTTGGTGGTGGTGGGTGTCCCGGGATTATCTGGGCAAGAGAGGGACTTTGTCTTATGAGCACTGATAAAATGTTCTCGGGGATGCTGGACACTTTTTGAAAAGCTGCCCTTTCTGTAGCAGCATTATCGGTTTGCAGGATTTCTTAACTAGCACAGATTTTGTTTAAACTTTATTTTAGGTATGTGTAGCCGGAAACCTTTAAACAGTCGTAGTGTCCACGGGAGAGAAGGCAGGGCTCTGTGAAAGCAAGGACAGGCCGGTGCAGCTGCCCCTGCCCCGGGGCCACGGAGGACAACCTCAGCTCCAGGCCTGGCCCGCTTGGGAGCCCTGGGGCAGGTCCGAGCAGGCCATCTTCCGAGCCCTGAGCCATGGTGGTGCCCAGGAGGTGCTCTCTAAATACTGAGAAAGTGGTATAAGCATTTAAGAGCACTTTTAAAACAAACAAAAAAAATGTTTTTTTTTAATCCTCACCTGAGGATTTTATTTTTCCATTTATCTCAGATAGAGTAGGAAGGATGGAGGGAGGGAAGGAGGGAGAGAGAGAGAAAGAGAAACATTGATGTGAAAGAGACACATCGACTGGCTGCCTCCCGCACAACCCCATCCAGGGCCAGGGATGAACTGCAACTGTGGTACGTGCCCTTGACTTGAATCAAACCCGTGACTCATTGGTCCTCGGGCCAGTACTATGACCTCTGAGCCAAACTGGCCAGGGCTAAGATCACTTTTTACTTGGAATGCCTAAAATTTCTCTTCCAGGCATCACTGCTAATCTATCTAAACCTGTTAACTTCTTGGCGTATGTTGTACAAATGAAGTATTTGGAACGTTCAACCAACCAGCTCTTGATCACCTGGAGGTCCAGAGGGAGCCCAGTCAGAAGCTACCAGGGCTCTACTGTATACGGAGTATTAGGTACAGAGCGCAGAAGAGCTGAGTGCTCACATCGCTCCACCCTTGTCTGGCCACGCAGGCGCTGAGCCTGTATTGACGGTCCCGCCGCCCGGCCCTCTGCTCCAGCGATGGAGGAGATGCGAGGTGAACAGCAGACACATTGAGGATCACGGCGGTGAAAATGGGGGTGAAGGGAAATTGCAGGGTGCTTTCAGGAAGTGTTACCAGGGCCCTACTTTGGGCAGGTGGATCAGAAAACACTCCCCAAAGGAGTGACAATTAAACTGACAAGAATGAGTCGGCGTCAGCCAGCGGCAGAGACCGGGAAAGGTTGCCGGCACAGGGAGCATCATGGGAGGGACCTGGTGGCACGAGGGAGCTGGGGACTAAGTAAACAAGGCCACTGTGGCCAGAGAGGGTCAGCGAGGGGCAGGCAGGCGCAAGAGGCTGATGAGTTTGGGTTTGGTGCCGGGAACAGTGGGAAGCCCTTAAGTTCCAGCTTGGCAAGTGATATGATGGGTTCGTGTTCTGGAAGCAGTTGGAGAGTGGGTGGGCCGGCCAGTGAGGAGCGGGAAGAACCACCTTCCAGGTGGGAGAGGGTGGGAGTGGCCAAGGGAGGTCCCCTCTCCCTGCTTGCTTCCTTGTTTCTTCACCCTGCCGTAGTGAAGTTCTCGTCTCTGCTGATGAAAACGCATGTTCTGCAAATCTGAGATTTTGTTTGGACTTTGCATTGTCTGTTTCATTCTTCAAGCTCCTGGGGAGAGGGGTGGTTTGTGGAATAGCTTCAGCCAGCCTTTGGGAAGGTGTGCACATCGGAGGGGCTCGGAGGAGAAGCGCGATGCAGGAAGGATGCACTGGGTTGCCTTATCTGGGGGTGAAGGGCATGGGAGAGGGGGTCATTGAGTGGCACATGCCGGGGTATATCGCACTTTGTGTTCCCCGGAAATGCATGAGGTGAGCATTTTTATTTCCATTTTATAGGTCAGGAATCTGAGGCTATCGAATTACCGTGTCCAGACCACCCCGCAAACATGTCGGGGCCGGAGCTCAGCTGCCCACTGTGGAGGTGGCTCTTGAGCTGACCCTCAAAGGGTGATTAGGAAATAGTAGTGGCCAGATCTGACCGAGGTTTTGTGGCGATCAGGGGCGCTCCCCAGGGTGTCAGGGGCGTTAGGCCCAGGACATCCGACAGCTTCCTGAGGTACAGGCACCATCGGCAGCACGGACGGGGTCGCCCTGGAGTTCACAGGCCGGTGAGGGGGGAGGAGAAAGTGAGTGTGAAAACTAGCTTTTTAAAAATGGTGACACATTTATTTTACAAACGGAAACATGGCTAATATAAAAAGATGAAAGTCTGAATTCATGAAGACTTCCTAACGGAGGCCATTCTAGCCCATTGCTTTTATCGGAAACAACACGTTCCAGAGCCTCCCCGTCCCGCCACGAAGGGGACCCCACTGCACGTCGCTGTGACGCACAGGCGCGAGGAGGACTTTAGCAGGAATTACGTTTCAAAATCGCTCTGGCAGAAAGCCTGTCATTAACGTCTCTCTCGTGTCCCGACAGGTGTCGGCGATGGCTGACGATGGCAGTGAAGAGATCATGTTCATCTGTGAGTGGCCGGGCCTGTCCTCCAGCGCGGGCGGGTGTGGCGCGGGCTGTCCGGGCAAAGCCACGTCCACATTTTGTCTTTTTAATGCAGAGGAGCCGTTTCATTTTCAGTTGAAATGGTTTTACTTGCTTTAAGAAACACGACTTACTACATGAGAAATGTGTTGTGGGGTGTAGTTTTAACAGGCTCATCTTTCTCCAACTCCTGGCGAAGGGCGGTTCACGGGGGGCGGCAGTTAACTCAGCAAAGTAATCCAAGGGTATAGAAGTGATTGACGATGCATTAGATGTATTGAACAGGTGAAATCGGTGACTTTTCATTTATTGTCATTCCGTGGGAAGATCTCATCCTTCGTCACCTTGGAGGGGGCTCTGCCTGCTTTGAATGTGCCATAGAGCTGGTGTGTTTTCCTTGGGGACACGTCCTGTATTTGCACTGTGTTGTCTTTGTGGGGAGCACAGTCGGTTGCCCCCACTGGGTTGGAGCCCAGCGGTGTCCTCTGGTGCCTCTGTCCCTGATGCTGGCTGTCTGTCTGTCTGCAGGGTGTGAAGACTGCAGCCAGTACCACGACTCTGAATGTCCAGAGCTGGGCCCGGTGGTCATGGTCAAAGACTCCTTTGTGTTGAGCAGGGCCAGGTGAGTGACCGCCTCGAGCTGTTTTCACCGGCCTGCCTGTGTGACAGGGTTGTCTGCATGCCGACCGCGGTGAGAGCTGGCGGCCCGGACGTCTGCGACAGGGAGGGAGCGGTGGGGGAGGACAGGTCTGTAGTGGGGCTGTCTCAGCTCCCAAGGGCGCCTGGGATTTCCGTCCCCGTGAACTGAGGAGCTGCCAGGAGGAGCCGAGACGTGTTTAGAGGCTTCGGAGGGAATGTCTGTGTCCAGTTCGTGGTTCTGAGCAGCCAAACGGAGACCCAGATGGGAGCCATGGAAGAACCGATTGGTTGGGTCGGTTTATGGTTGAGGAGTGACAGTCAGGTTGCAGGTCCCACTCTGGGCGAAGTGGGGTGGGGTCGAGACAGCAGTGAGTGCAGGTGAGAAGGCACAGCCATGGCAGCTTCTGGAAAAGCCCCTGCAGATCCCAGGAGGCCCAGCGGCTCTGCCGTTCCGTGTGTCCTGTGGCGCCAGGCACCCAGTGGGCCAGACAAGGACTGAGTGACCACCTGTTCACAGGCCAGGTCGGCCGCGTGGGGCTGTTTGAAAATGGGTGCATTCTCTCTGCACCTCAGTTGTCCTGTCTGTCCAGAGGACAGAATAACAGTACCCCCTGTGAAATCACTGTGGTCATTGTACAGGATGCAGTGCCTGGCACATGGAGACACTACCCTTATCAGTGCTATTTCTGGGAGCCTCCCAGCTGGTTTTCCGGCCTCTTTATTTATTTACTTTTCTCACTGTCACTTAACTTCTTAAAACAAAGAGATTAATATTTTTGCCTAGAGATGGGATCAGCTGTTCCCCAAAACCTTCAGTAACTGCCTGTTGCCCAGCGACTGCACTGGGAGCCGTCAGCCCGCAGTGGGGCCCTCCGGCGCGCTGAGGCCGCGGCCCGTGCTGGGGCGCCGCCATGTGCCCCGTCCGCTGGCACCCATCCTTGACGCCCTCCTAGTTTATCGAGAAGGCCACGTGCTCCATGCAGTCACCAGCTCAGCCCAGCTGGAAGGCTGCTTCTGCCTTTGGAGTGGAGTGCCCTGGCTCTCTGTCTGTCTCGTGGAACTTCCCACGTGGCACCTCGTCTCGAGAGGCTGTGGTCCTGTGTGCTCCTGTGGGCGAGAGCGATCTGCTCCATCTCCGTTGCCCATCACATCCCGCACCTGGAGTACCTGTGCGTTGGCTGTGTCTCGGGCGGGCGGGCATTTCAACCGTCCTTTAGTCAATGGCCCTCTGTCGTGTGCTCGGGCGGTCAGTGAGAGCGAGCTTTTCATCTGTCTCCACCACTGCGTCCTGGTGTGAGTGGCTCTCCAGCCCCTGGCTCTCAGGGACTTGTTTTGTTCTATTCCTAGGTCGTCCCTTCCTTCCAACTTGGAGATCAGACGACTGGAAGATGGAGCCGAAGGCGTGTTTGCTGTAACTCAGCTGGTTAAGCGAACACAGTTTGGTCCCTTCGAGTCGAGGAGAGTCGCCAAATGGGAGAAGGAATGTGCGTTTCCGCTGAAGGTAAAGGCCGTGCTGGCGGTGCAGGGGCCGGGGCTCCGTGACGTCCTCCCTGAGCCGGGCCAAGCCACCGGGTGCCGGGTTCCAGATGGCTCGGGACAGCTCTCCATAGTGCGGTTCTGCTGAATTTCAGCGGTGCTTCTTTTCCTTGTAGTTGGTTTTCTATATCATAAGAGCAACAGAGTTAAGTTAGCATTTTGTAATTTTGAACTTTGCAAGCATGAAAGAGAGTGTATTCAAAATGTGTGCCGGAGGAGACCCAGATGCTGCCCTCACTCCGTTCCAGCGGGGGGTGTTCCAGGCGGTGGGGCTGACAGGTCTGTCGTTTCTTGCAGTGTGCGTCAGAATAGTCATCGTCACACCCATGCGGCACGGAGGCACCTTCTTCCAAAAGAAGGTTTTTGTTTTTTTTAATCCTCACCGAGGATATTTTCCCATTTATCTTCAGATAGAATGGGAGGGAGAGAAAGAGAGAAAGAAACATTAATATGAGAGAAACACATCAATTGGTTGCCTCCCAACCAGGGCTGGGGATGAACCGCATCCAATACTTGTCCTTGGCCAAAAATGAACCCACAAGTCTTTGGTCCGTGGGTGACATTCTGGAGGCTGAGCCACACCGGCCAGGGCAGAAGGTGTTTGGTTAGGCAGTGATAAGACACCAGTACAGTTTGGCATCTCTAAAAGGCCCATCAGACTAGGGTAGGACAGTTTTTATGTGAAATTGAGAAAAACAAAATGAAGGTTGCAGGGAAGGCTTAGAGTACCGAAAATAAGACCTGTGGGAGCCCATGCGGCCAGGGGACACAGGTGTTCATGCTTCTGTGCCTGTGCCCTGTGTCGGCCCAGAGCAAGCCTGTGAAATAAACAAATGAGGGCAGCTGTTACCCACAGAGGTGGGCTTTTCTCACAGACCCTTAGCAGAGACCCACATTTCGGGGTAGGGATGAAATAGATAACCTCCGGTTTGGGGCAGTCCTTGGAAAGTGAACTTACAAGGCAGATTTCAGCCAAAGCGGGGGAAAGAAAAGGCACTTGATTTGTTGACAAGAAAAGAGAGGAAGGGAAGGAAGAAAGGCTGTTGGCTGCTGTCCTGCATGGGGCCTGGGCCACACGACACACAGCATGTGGGCCGCACCCCTTTGAACAAGTCCTGTGTGCCCACCTTGGCTTCTTTCAGTGGCTCGATGCTGAAGGTCGGTGCCTGGCGTGAGCTGTTTGCAGCACGCTCGGCACTGAGCACCTGTGTGCCTGGAGCGGCTTGAGGCCCACTGGACGCACCCCCAACACACCATCTGGGGGTCATTAGCACCTGGTGGCCCCTCTGCCCTCTCCCCTTGTTTTCAAGGGCTCCATTCTCAGAGGGGTCTTCAGCTCATTAGCAGTGGGGGCCCCTACAGGAAAAGCTCCGGAGAGGGGAGGGATTTCTTCCTACAGCAAGGAAGTAACAATTACATCAGAAAATAAGGGACAAGAACTCCCCATACTTGTGTGGTTACTTTGAACGTCAGAATATTTACGCTTCTCCCCTGCTCCCTGCCTGCATCGAATCCCTAAGGAGCGGTGCTGTGCTCCAGGTGGGGTGCACCTTACAGAGACCGCGGAACTTTGCTGAAATCACTGAGCACCTGTAATAGAGCCAGGGAACTCAGGTGTCCTGATGCCCATCTGGACCATGGACACAACCTGGCATCCTAATTCCCAGCTGGGCCACGTGTGAACTCAGGTGTCCCAATGACACCAGGCCAGGTATAGAATTCAAGTGTTCCAGTTCCCAGCTGGGCCACGCGTGGAACTCAGGTGTCCCAATGACACCAGGCCAGGTATAGAATTCAAGTGTTCCAGTTCCCAACTGGGTCATGCGTGGAACTCAGGTGACTCTGTGACACCAGGCCAGGTGCAGAGCCCAGATATCCCAATGCTGCTTGGACCACGAGTTGAACTCAGGCATCCCGGTTCCTACACGGGCCATGGATAGAATTCAGGTGTCCCAGTGACTCTTGAACCAGGTGTAGCACTGCGGTGTCCCAATTCCCTCCTGGGTCATGGGTAGAACTCAGGCATTCTAATTCCCACGAGGCCATGTGTTAGAACTTAGGTCTCCCAATGATACCTGGACAAGGTGTAGAGCTCAGAAGTCTCAATGACATGTGTCCTAGGAGTAGAACTCAGGTGTCCCGATCCCACCTAGACCAAGAGTAGAACTCAGGTGTTTCATGCCCACTTGAAAACTGATCAGAATCTGAGTGTCCAGAGTAGACCTCGAGCAGACCCCAGACGTCCCAGCTCGTCCTGCATAGAACTCAGGACCCCTGATAACTCTTGGCCTAGGAGAGTAACTCAGGTTATACTCAGTGTACTCCTGGCCTGGGAGTGTATCTCAGGTTTCCTTGTGTCACCTGGACCACTAGTAGAACTACCTGGGAACCCACCTGAACCACAGGTCACAATCAGGTACCCAGTTCCCAGCTGGGCCATGCATAGAACTCAGTGTCCGGCCAGGTGTAGAGCTCAGGTGTTCCAGTTCCCACCTGCGCCTTTCGTAGAACTCGGGTCTCCCTGTGACAGCTAGATCTTTCACAAAGACCCTCCTAACTACTGTAAATGCCCAAACAGGACCTGTACGGAACCTGATTTGGCCCCCAGTGCGGCACTGTCCAGACCGGTTACTAGCCCCCCCCCCACATACATGCTGACACACAGGCCGGTGGGTAACCAGATCCTCCATGGCCCCTCGTGCTTCCCCTCAGGTGTTCCAGAAGGATGGGCACCCCGTGTGCTTTGACACCTCTAATGAGGACGACTGCAACTGGATGATGCTGGTGCGGCCGGCTGTGGAGCCCGAGCACCAGAACCTGACGGCCTACCAGCACGGCAATGACGTGTACTTCACCACCTCGAGGGACATCCCCCCAGGCACTGAGCTGCGCGTGTGGTACGCGGCCTTTTACGCCAAGAAGATGGACAAGCCCATGCTGAAGCAGGCCTGCTCCAGTGTCCACGGTATGTGGCGGGCCTCGCCGTAGGGACTGAGGGCCCCTTGGCGGGGGCATGTGCATGTGTGTGTATATTTCTGTGTGCACGCATGTGTGTGCGCGCATTCAAAGAAAGAACCAGTGTCAGTGAGGAATCGTGCCTGGCGAGCTGGCTATGCATGGGGGGGGGGGGTTTGACCCCACGTGGCTGGGTCTTGTTCTGCTTGTTAACATTCGGGCTGATGGACAATTAGTAGAGCTCAACCCTAAGCCAGACACCTGCTGTGGGAAGCTGGCCCTCTTAGCGGTGCTGCAGTGAACCCTGCACGTGGACTCAAGGAGCTGCACCTCAGCTCCGCCCTCGGGGCTTTCCACACAGTGACTCGTCCGGTCCTCTGAGGTTGGGCATTGTCCCTGGTTTGGGGCAGAGGAAACCTACCAGAGACGGTGAGGGGCCCACCCCGCTCACAGTGCAGGGGTGGAGGAATCTGGCTCTGGGCCTGTGCTATCGACTGGCAGCCTTCTCCAGAAGCTGGGGCATGTGCATGTGTGTGTACATTTCTGTGTGCACGCATGTGTGTGCGCGCATTCAAAGAAAGAACTCGTGAAAGTCATACGTGTGATTGGCCCAAACTCGATGTTCCTATTGGAAAAGCAAATCAAAGTGCACATTTGACAAACCGGGGTCCAGGCATCACTTTGTGAAGGGCCCATTACATTTAGATTTAGATCTTTATTGCCTGTGGGTCTTGGTGGCACGGGTCCTGGCCACACCCGAGAGAGCACGCGACATGGCTGACTGGCGCTTTTAACATGCCAGAGCCGCACTTGCTCAGCCTGGTGCGTGGGGTGGGGCGAGGGGGCGTGTTCATTGTTGCCGTGGAGGTTATTGCTCTGACGCCCCAGTACGGCTCTCTGGCCTGTTTCCCTTCTACTGCAAACCCCGCGTGATAGAAACCAGCTCCAGAGCGAGCGCTTTCGCGTTTGGGAGGTCTGCTCGTGGCTGTGGTTTGGTGAGCTTCCCTGGTTACACACCCAGCAGTGTGTGAGGGGAGGAGTCTGTGATGCTGCCCGAAGGACAGATGGATCGTCTCACGATCTGGAGGCGTCAGCACAGCCGACTCCTTCTGGAGGCTTGGAAGGCGCATCCCGTCCAGGCCTCTCCCGGTTCCTGGTGTTGCCGGTGACCCTTGGCTTGTGGCTGCATCGCTCCTGCCCCTGCCCTGTCTACGCAAGGCCCTCTCCCTGGTCTCTGTGTTCTCTTCTTATGAGGACACCAGTCATGGATTTGGGGCCTACCTACCCCAGCCTGACCTCCTCTCATGTCATGACAACTGCAGAGACCCTATCCAAAGCTCCAGGTGGACCTGAAGGTCAGGGGGCCACTCTCCGACCCACTGCAGGCTGGGTGGGGGCCGGTGGGTGGGGAGCCCCTGGGGATGTCCATGGGGAATGTGGGTGGGGTGCCGGACGGCCTGTGCTTCAGGTCTGGTGGCAGCAGAAAGATGAAGAAAGCTTTGCAGTGAGGGGTTCGCCCCTTCAGAGACATTCATGGGAAGACTGGGCTTTAAGGGATGTTCCGTTTTGATAGTGAAGTGGACAGAAAGAAGTTAGAGAGACTCATGACTTTTCACCAGGCTGCTCTTAGCCCCGCCCCCTAGGATTTGCTGTAACCAGACCCCTGGCCCCTGAGAGAGGCACCCTCTGCGTCACCCCTCCACCGGGCGTCACTTCCGTGCACGATGAGCCGGGCTCGCCCCCAGGCTCTGTCCGTGATCACGACCGTGGCTCTGACCTGGCCTTCTTGTGTCCTGGTGTGCCCGGGAGGGGCCCAGACCACACGCCGGGTGTGGGCTGCTAGCGGCCGACCTGGCTCTCTTGTGTCCTGGTGTGCCCGGGAGGGGCCCAGATGCACCCGGGTGTGGGCTGCTAGCGGCTGACCTGGCTCTCTTGTGTCCTGGTGTGCCCGGGAGGGACCCAGACTGCACCCGGGTGTGGGCTGCTAGCCGCCGACCTGGCTCTCTTGTGTCCTGGTGTGCCCGGGAGGGGCCCAGACTGCACCCGGGTGTGGGCTGCTAGCCGACCTGTCTCGTGTCCTGGATGATGGCACAGCCCTCATGGCTCTCAAGGTCAAGGTCAAGGTCAAGGCAAAGGCTGGCACCACTTATCAGAATTACAGTTGTTCTGTTTGCTTTTTACCTGCTAGAGAGCTTTTTAGTCTGGTGCTGATTTTTTAGAGACTGGATTTTAATGGAATTAGCCTGGTACTGTGTCATCCACACCACCACTCAGGAACACAGAGTGACTGTGATTCCTCCTTGAGGCTCTGAGAACACGGGACACTGCTAAAATTATGTCAGGACAGCTAGCATAAGCAGGAGGCATGGTCACCCCAAACAAGTTTTGAATTGGGAAAATAAGTCGACAACTTAGTGCTCTAAAATTTTAGAAATCCTTTTGATGCTCCTCTATTTTGGGATGAATGGCAAGCCCGTATTCCTTGGAAATGCCGTGAGGGTTACTGACTGCTGTTACCTGTTTGGCTTGTTGGCTTCTTTGTTTCCTCTCTCCTGAGAACGCTGCCTGTTGAGGGGTCGCTTAGCTTGGGCAGTGCTGGGAACACTCAGGCAGCCTTCCTGCTGGGGCCTCCGGTGACGGGCACCTCTGTGCACCTGGCCAGCGGGTAATGACCTGGCAGCTGCCCCAGGTCCCCTGCACGGCCTCTCCACCCTGCCTCCCGCCTTCCCAGCCCCTTCCCGGGTCCCCGTCTAGCATAGTGAAGCTTCTGGAACCTGCTGCCGCCCTGCCCACCCTGAGTGCCAGGCTCAGCACCAGCTCAGTGACTTGCTGAACACCTTGCCCAGCTGCAGCCATGCACTGGGAGCCCACCCCTGCCCGCTCCGTAGGAACCAGGGTCACATAACCTGGGAGGAGAGGCCTAGGGACAGGAACGCTGGCCATCAGTGTGATTCTGATCACCCAGATCCCACAGGGAGGGACTCCAGTTCTCCCTCTCACTGGGGAGGCCACTCCCTGTCCCGGCCTCTAGTGTGAACGATCCTGAGACCGTCGACGTCCAGTGGCAGGAAGGGGCTGTTGCCAGGCCCCAGGCCCCCTGGGGGCGGGGCAGAGCAGTGCGTGGGGTGTCTGCCACCGCCGTGTCTTTTGGGAGAGGCATGTTCAGGGCTCATGGACAAGGAACAGTCATCCCTAAGTCATTCAGAGTTTTTCTCGGTGAGCATCAGAACTGCCGAGACTCGTTCATTTAATCCTGCCTCTTTCAGATTTGCTCCAAACATGCGTCTTTGTTGTAGAAATCAGCCAATGTGCAGATTGGAAGCCACCCTCTAAATACAGGGAAAAGTTGGTTTCAACCTGAGGAGCAGTGACCCACTGTTTACAAATTAATTTTTATTGTTTTGTTCTGGTGGTGGATTGATGTTTTGAATACATTAAGGTTGGTTCTTTGCACAAACCTGTGTTGGCGGACGAAGGAGGTGGCCCAGTAGGCACAGTGGGTCTTCCCGGGCCGCTGCTGGGGCTCAGGATCGACCGTCAAGCTCCGATCTTCCCAAGTCCTTTTCTAATGGAGAAGATAAAATACAACCACATTCCATATATGTGGTCACCTGTTTTAAATCGCATAGAACATTTGAACTCAATGACTCTTGACATTTTTAATCAGCTTGCTCTAGTATTTTTTAGAAATAGCTGACGTGTAGTTTACATACAATAAAACTTAGCGTTTTAAGGGTGCGGTTCCGAGAGCTTTGACGGGGCACAGCTGTGTGAGCTGCACCAGTCAAGACGTGGCGCGTGCTCTCACTCGGAACAGGCTCTCGCGTGGCTCTGCACGAGACCCTGCAGGCGCCAGCTCCTTGCTGCCCTGCAGCTCCGCTCTTGCCTGTCGTGTGAAAAGCCTGCGTTTGCACCGAGGTCTTACTGCGTGTGCTGGGCTTTGCTTGCTTTTGTTTCCCTGCACACTTCCACGCCCCTGTGGTAAGCATTTGCCTGTCACTGCTGTCCCTGGACATCGTTTCGTGGCTGTGGCGGTGCGTTTTGTGTAGACAGTCTCTGTTGTTGGGTAGTGTTGGCGATCAAGCACCACCTTCCAATTGTTGGCTATTTTCTTTCTTAAAAAGTCTTATCTTGCCCTGGTCAGTTTGGCTCAGCAGTCAGAGCGCTGGCCTGAGGACCGAAGGGTCGAGGGTTTGATTCCCAATCGAGGGCACATGCCTGGGTTGCAGGTTCGATCCCCAGCTCCTGTCGGGGTCATGAGGGAGGCAGCCAGTCAATGTGTCTTTCTCACATCGATGTTTCTCCCTCTGTCTCCCTCCCTTCCACTCTTACTTTTTTTTTTTTATCCTCACCCGAGGACATTTTTCCATTTTTTGTTCAGATAGAGTGGGAGGGAGAGAGAGGAACGGAGAGAGAGAGAGAGAGAAACATCGATGTGAAAGGAACACATCGAGTGGCTGCCACCCGCACGACCGACCAGGGCCGGGGACAAACTGCAACCGAGGTACATGCCCTTAGCGGGAACCGAACCCGGGTCTCTCAGGACCGCAGGCCGACGCTCTAACCACTGAGCCAAACCGGCCAGGGCCCTTTCACTCTTTCTATAAATAAATGGAAAAATATCCTCGGGTGAGAATTAACAACAAAATGTTTATCTTTTGAAAAATACAGTGCTGCTCTTGATGAGAGGATAGTAGTCACAACTAGTTCTTCTAGTTAGTCCCATCGACCTAGCGTCAGAGGCCAGGTGAAGGGAAGGGCTTGTTTCCAGTTGGTCTGAGTTCACATTCAAGGGCAGCGACCTCGTTCAGGGGATAGCAGCTCATCCAGAGGAGTTGCCTTGATTCATAAGTGTCCTCTTCCAGCCAGCTGGCTTCTCATCCTTTTCTGAAACTCTCCTGGGCAAGTGTGTTTCTCCTTTTTGAACCACGTGTGTTTAGGAAGGTGAGAAATGGGAACTTGGTTCTGACTTCCGTTGTCCTGATCTCCCGAGTCTTCAAGCAGGGATCCCCAGAGCCCCGCGGAGCGCATCGGAGGGGACGGCCGTCACATTCCGCTTCTCCTGACCCCCGCTCCCTGGGTATTAGTGTAACAAAAATTTCATATTGCATTTATATTCCTTCCCTTTTTTATCGTATGAGGACTCAGAAAATGCATGCGGACAATGTCACAACGCTGGACATCTTTTTCTTCTGTTCTTTGCAACCTTACTGCTAGTTTTTGATATAGAAAGAAGTATGTTTTTTCCTGGTACTGAATACATGAGCAGTCACAATTCTGGATGATTTGGTGACGGACCCAGGAGTGTCCACATGGACTTCACAGCGACAGGAGTGGGCGTGCTGGTGACGGCTCATGGCCCCCGGCCAGCCCTGACAGACAGACAGACGGGGTCAGGGAAACGAGGCTGAAGGTTACGGCCCCAACATGTGGGTCGCACACGAGCATCAGTAGTCTTGTATAAAGGAGAATGCAGTTCCCCTTCTCGGCCAGGGTCTCCCCGTCTCCTGTGAACCCAGGTCATCTCCCTCCTTAAACCCCTGTGGTTCTGGGATGAAAGCTCAGAGACCCTGCCTGGACAGCAGCGCCTGCCCCGGTGGCTGTTTAAATCCAGATTCAAATGAGATGGAGTTACAGCCTCGGGGCCCTAGCCCAGGCGGCCGCATCCTGGACAGCGCAGTTGGAGCGTTTCTGTCATTGCACCAGGCTGGGCTGAGGCTGCATCCACACCGGGCTCAGGGCACACTGGTTGGCTGCTTTGGGTCCCACTGTCTCGTGTGTGAGCTGATGAGAGATTGAGGAATTCAGTTTCAGTATTTGCTCTAGTACTTTGTCTTGAGATCGTATGAAGGATGCGTCTGGTCCCACTGGACTGGCTGCTGGGAGGACGCGCGTTTCCGTGACTGGAGACACCTGCGTCAGGCGGCTGTGGCTCCAGCTCTCGGAGCCCAGCTTCCTCATCTGTGAAATGGGGACATTCATGAGGACCGAGTGAGTCCGTGTGTGTACAGCTCCGAGAACGTACCAGTGCCTGGACCACTGAAGTGCTCATGAGCGATCGCCGGTCACTGCCAGCTGTGAGGACAGGTGCCCTGCTGGGCGGGGCCTTCGTGGACAGATGAGGGGCTGTGCATCACCTTGCTTCTCTCTTGAAGCCGCAGGCACCCCGGAAAACAGCGCCCCGGTGGAATCGGAGCCGAGCCAGTGGGTGTGTAAAGTGTGTTCCGCCACCTTCCTGGAGCTGCAGCTCCTGAACGGTAAGGGGGGGCGATTGTTGAGATTTACTTTTTTAATTATTAAATCCTCACCTGAGGACATATTTCTATTGATTTGAGAGAGAGAGACATTGATTGGTTGCCTCTTGCACGCACCCCCAATTAGGCATTGAATCACAACCTGGGTATGTGCCCTGACCGGGAATCAAACTCGCAGACTTCTGGTATGCGGGGTGGTGCTCCAACCATTGAGCCACCCGGCCGGGCCGAGTGAGGGGCTGAAGGGCCCGTGTGGAGCTCACTGGGATGTGGGCTGACCCTGGCGCCATCCTTTCTGAACTGCCAAGCGCATGGCCGTCAGGATGCTCCTGGTTTCACGCGAGCAGCTCAGACCCGTGTGCACGAGGAACCAGACCCTCCGCCCAGCCGCCCCCAGCTCGCACTTGTACGCTTTGGCTTGAAGTCCCCTTGTGTGTCCTGCGCCATGAGGTCTTATTTTCTTTCTCTTGAGCTCAGCAATGTATTACAGTTGGTGGGGGGTCTGTCTTTTGTCTGGTCTTTCCGAGTGGTTTCAGCCAGGTGGGCTCATTCTTCGCCTGTTCTGCCGTGTGGCTGAACTGCCAGACCCTCCCTGCGACGTAACATCGTGCTTGCTCCGTCATGTCCTTTCCCTGCTTCCTGGGCACTCACCCAGCAGTGCCCCTCAACATGCCAGCCGCTGCACGCACAGCTCTGGGTTGGACCAGTGGAGAGTTCCAACAGGAAGAGTCAGTCCCTGGCCCAGTGCACACAGGTGCCTGCTGGCCATTGAGTGCGTGCGTCCCTGGCACCCCCGGTCCCCCCCTCCCTGCCGGGGCCTGAGGTCCAGCTGGTCTGAGCCAAACTCACCTTCATTGGGAGCCTGGCCTGTCCCGTCCAGTTTTCTTGTCTTGGGGGGTCTCTGAGGCTTTCTTCAGTTGAAAATATAGCACAGTTTTAATTTTTTTGCTTTTATGAAGTGTTTTTAAAGACAGTTTATCGATCACAAATTGAATATTTCTCATATTCCTCTTAGAAGTTACATTTTTAAGTAATTTATTATGTATTTGTTGAGGAAAATTAGAAAATACAAATAAGCTTAGAGAAGAGAATCCCAGTTACCATCCAGAGAGAACCACACTGCTGTTTTAATACCCTTCCTTAGTTCTCTTCGCACGCTTGTGTGCACACGTGCCGTCAGTGTGCACAGAACTGTCTGGCGAGCCTGCCTGCTTTCACCACCTAGTGAACGACTTTGGAACACTGGCCGCGCCTGCCGCAGCGGGGGTGCTTCGTGGTCGAAGGCTGTGGGAGGGAGCTGCTCCCCGGTGCAGGGGCGCACATCAGCAAACAGCGGAGAGCAGAGACGAGCCGTGGGGTGGGCACGGACACCCCGCGGCTTCCTCAGGCCCTGTGCGCCTCCCTCTCCTGCAGAGCACCTGCTGGGCCACCTGGAGCAAACCAAAGGCCTCCCGGCCGGCCAGCCGGACGGGGCTCCGGAGAAGGAGCCTGACGCGTCTCGGGGGGAGCCGCCTGCAGCTCCCAAGAGCGTCAGTGCCACCAAAGAACCGAAGAAAAAGCCTCGAAGGGGGAGAAAACCCAAGGCCTCGAAACCAGAGCAGCCGCTGGTCATCATTGAAGACAAAGAGCCTGCAGGTGAGGCTGGTCCTGGGAGGCTGGGAGGGACCTGAGGCCACACCCTGTCACCTGGATTCGGGCATGAAAACTCAGCACTGAGATCATTTCTGTAAATGACCTCCTTTGACCTCCTGCACTCCCAGAGTGCAGGCTGTGACCTTGGACAGGTGGGTCCGCCTGTGTAACCAGCACCAGAGCGAGACAGAACATTTCCATTCCAGCCACTTCCCCACTCGTCTCCTGTGGGCCGGTCTTGCCCGTCCGGGGTGTTCACGTGAACGGCACTCCTGTGTCGGTGTCTCGCACGCAGCCCGGGGGCGACTTGTCCACTCTGGGCTCGTCCGCCCCTCCCCTGCGGCCGAGCAGTACTCACTGTGTGAGCGCCCTCGCCCCTCCTGGTCACTGTACAGACGGCTGTGTGGGCTCTGCAGTAATGCTGGTTTCCCTTCCCTCCCACCCCTGTGGATCTGGCAGTGCGTGTCCACTCTGGGCTCGTCCGCCCCTCCCCTGCGGCCGAGCAGTACTCACTGTGTGAGCACCCTCGCCCCTCCTGGTCACTGTACAGACGGCTGTGTGGGCTCTGAAGTAATGCTGGTTTCCCTTCCCTCCCCCCCGTGGATCTGGCAGTGCGTGTCGCCGTCCTGGCCTGGCTGTGTGTCCGCTGGGCATGTTGTCTTGGTTGGGTGTGTCCTGTCCCCTGCCCTGGTGATGGCATGGCCTGTCCCATTGCTTCTGCACAGAGCAAGTGGCAGAGATCATCACAGAGGTACCACCGGACGAGCCTGTACCCACGACGCCGGACGAGCACATCATGGAGCTGGTGCTGGGGAAACTGGCCACCACCACCAGCGACGCCACTTCAGTGCCCAAGTGAGTCCTGCACAGCACTCGGGGCAGGAAGCATGGCGGCAGCGGACTTGTCGGGAGGGAAGGCCTGCTGAGGGGGAGGGTGGTTCTCGGGGTGGAGACGGACGAGCTTGGCCAGCAGCAGGACTGTTCTGGACCCTGGAGTTTAATGGTATGTCCACTGTGAAAGCAGTTTAAAAAAGTACTTTTAGCCCTGGCCGGTTTGGCTCGGTGGTTAGAGCGTCGGTCTGTGGTCCAGAGAGACCCAGGTTCGGTTCCTGCTAAGGGCGCGTGCCTCGGTTGCAGTTTGTCCCCGGCCCTGGTTGGGTCGTGTGGGTGGCAGCCACTCGATGTGTCCCTTTCACATCAATGTTTCTCTCTCTCTCCCACTCTATCTGAACAAAATATTGGAAAAAAAATGTCCTCGGGTGAGGATAAAAAAAAAATACTTTTATTGTGGTGAAACAGATATAACGTGGAATGTACCATCATAATAATTTTTAAGAGTATAGTTTGATGGTTTTAAATACATTCACATACATTCACCATTATTCATCTCCATAACTTTATTTTCCTTAAATGGAAACTCCATACTTGTGTAATAATTATTCCTTGTCCCCCTCCCCTGAGCCCTGGCACCCACCATTCTACTCTGTGTACGAATCTGAATACTCCAGGTGTCTCATATAAGTGGAATCACACAGTATCTGTCCTTGTGTGTCTGGCTTATGTCACTCTGCATGAGGTCCTTCGGGTCCGTCCGTGTTGTAGCCTGTGTCCGAATGTTCTCCGTTTTAAGGCTGAGTATACTCCACTGTACGTGTGGACCCCACTTTGTTCTCCACTGCCTCAGCGGGCACTCGGGGTGCCGCTACCCCTTGGCTGGTATGAATACCGCTGCTGTGGTAAAGTAGCTTCGTGTTTGAATTTCTGTAAGTTTAACACCTTACCCCGTGTCTTCCTACTTCTCTTGGTGAACAAGGAAAATATGCGTGTTTGTTGTTATTCTTGGGAAGTTTTTGCCCTGAAGTTGAACAAGCTGATAGCAGATTTTTCTCCTCCGTCTCTTTTTGGTGTTCCTCTTAACCCTTGTCAAAGGTGCCTGGTCTTCGTAGTCCGGAAACTTGGGCAAATATTGAAACCAAAGTCATGTTAGAATGATGGTGTCTGTTTATTTACAATCTAAGTGCCCAGAGGGTTTCCATGGAAACAGTCAGAAACATACTTAACAGGCAGAAGAATTTTTAAAAATCAGGTTCAGGGAAAATGTAAACCTTCAGAGGCCAGACCAGACCACACAGGGAACAGCACAGACCCAGCCACTCTGGTTGAAGCCACATCGAGCCTGCACCTTCCGGTGGTGGAAGCTTCCGGTGGCCAGAGTTAAAGGCAGAGAGATGGGTGGCTGGTCGGAAAGCTTCCTGTCCCTTTGTGCCTTCCAGGTACCTCTCCTCCTGGCGCCCGGCTCTGGGCGGTGCCCTGCCTCGGCCCCTTCTTTGTCCCGTCGAGCTGGGACGATGGGGAAGGACTCTTTCCAAGATGACTGTAACCTTGAACTCGTTTCCCCAACAGCCTGGCCTGCCACCTGTCTTACCATTTGCTTGTCCGCCCGGGCAGGTTCCCCCACCATCAGAGCAGCAGCATCACCCTCAAGAGGAGCCTGATTCTCTCGAGCCGACACGGCCTCCGGCGGAAGCTGGTCCGGCAGCTGGGGGAGCACCGGCGGGTGTACCAGTGCAGCGCCTGCAGCAAGGTCTTCCAGAACAGCAGCAACCTGAGCAGGCACGTGCGCTCGCACGGTGAGTCCCGCGGCGTGGGGCGGGGCGGGGGTCTCAGGCCCCGCCTGCAGGCTGGATGGGCTTCTGTGGCTGGTTCCTTAGGTGACAAGCTGTTCAAGTGTGAGGAGTGTGCGAAGCTGTTCAGTCGGAAGGAGAGTCTGAAGCAGCACGTCTCCTACAAGCACAGCCGGAACGAGGTGGGTGTGGCCACGGTCTCTTCCTGGTCACGGGAGAAGCGGGCCATCGACCGAACAGTCAGGGTGGGGAGAGAAGTTAGAGTCAGGACAAAGGGGAGGCCGGAAGGCCCAGCCCGGTGGTCTGGGCGCATGCAGGTGGCCGGGCCCAGCGCGGACGGGGGCCTGGCGTGGGGGCGGCGGGCGGGCGTGGGCGGTGCAGGTGTCTGAGCACGGGGTGCTCTTTCTAGGGCAGTTGGGCAGGAAGAGGGGAAACTCTTCCTGTTCCTGAGTTGAGTAGGAGAGTGGGAGAGGCTCATTGTAAACCCCACACGTGGAAGTTGCCAGAATGTCCCATCAGGGAGCTCCTTCTGCTTGCACCTCCTCGGGGCTCCTCCTGTCCCTGACGCTCCGCCCTCTGCCCAGGTGGACAGCGAGTACAGGTACCGGTGTGGCACCTGCGAGAAGACCTTTCGCATCGAGAGCGCGCTGGAATTTCACAACTGCAGGACAGGTGAGCGGATGCCGTGCCGTCGGTCCCCGTGGCGGTGGAGGCTGCGGAGTGTGTCGGAGGAAGGAAGGCGGGGTGGCCGAGGACCGCACGTGCGGCATTTCCCACCACTCGCGGCCCCTGAGCAGCGCCCAGCCAGTGTAGACAGGTGCACACTGCCGGGTCTGAGGAGCAGTCTCACTTCCTGGTCTTCTGCCCCACGTTGGGGCCCTCACGTCGTCCTCGCCGAGTGTGGTGGGCAGTGGGGTGGGTCTGTGCTAGGCCCACCTGAGAATAGAGGTGGGTGGGTAGTGCCTGCAGGAGGACCGTCCCTCCCTTGTCGGAAGGGGCTCGTAACCACGAGCCTGACCTTGTGCGCAGAGATGCCAGTGTCCAGGGCAGGGTGCTGCGCCACCTCGCCCAGCCCTGTCTGAGCCCTTCTGTCCACCAACCCCCAAAGTGACATGGAGCCTCATTTTCCTCGTACTGCCACGAGCCCGTGCCGAGGGGGCCTTCCGGGGCCCGGACAAGCCTGCTGGGAATGGTTTCTGGGTGATTGGCAGATGGCGAACACCTGTCATGTAGAGGCCCTCACGGCAGCAAGGAGGCAGGGGCAGGAGCCCAGCCAGCGGAGAAAGCCCCGGCCTGTCCCCACTGCGCCGTGGGTGACCTGCGTTCTCCCTCTCTCTAGGAACCCTAGCACAGCCGGGAGAGGGGGGGACCAGAGACAGTCGGCTTAGACACCTACCAGGTTAGCCTTTGACACCGAACCCTTTCCTGTCGACCCCTCTGTGTGCGTCACTATCTCTGTGCTGGTTCTTGTTAAGGTGGGTCTCTGGGGAACCTCAGCCAGCATTAGCTAAGTCTCCACGGCCCCTCCTGCCCCGGCAGTGCCTGCCGTGACCCTTGCTTGGTTCACTTGTTTGTCTGTCCTGTCTGAGGTCCTGTCTGTGACCATGGCTCGTCTTGCGTCCATGCCACCTTGCTCCGTGGCAGGCGAGTCTCATCCCAGCTGAGCTCCAGCTGCTGTGTAGCACCCATGTCTGGGTTTACGTGGCCTCGGATGCTTTCAGACAGACTTCCGGTGGCTGCACCCCCTGCACTCTGAGCCCTGCACCCCAGTGTTGCCCAGATTGGGGGCAGATTCACCCAGCAGCCTCCATGGCTGCTCTGCACAGAGAGGCCCGTGTGGCCATGCAGATCTGGGGGGCAGGAATGGGGGCAGGGCTGTCAGGGTGTCCGGTGTTTGGTGAGTGACTCAGGATCCAGGAAGAGGGGTTGTCTCTTTAATTGTCGCTCTGGACACAGATGAAACACGGTTCCACAGTCAGAGCTGCAGGCGAGCTGACAACCAGACCTCGCCCCCGTCCTGGGAGCGACCGAAGTGCGCTCTTTTCCTGTGGGGCCCGCGTTTCAAAGGCTGGAAGTATTGGATGGAGAACAAAATAGACACCTGGAAGCAGAGCTTGTTTGCATAATGCAGTATTTTCATACTGTTATACTTTTTGTGTATCTACATTAAGAAAATGTGTGTCTTCATAGGCCACTAAACCAAGGATCTGTACAATGCGAGGGCGAAGCTTTGAAATGTGGGGTCTGATGGGTTTTTCTCAAGCTTTCTTTCAGCAGGACCTGTCCTGCGTGTGACAGGTGTCGGTATAACTCTTCTAAGTGGTCCCTGCCCTTGACCATCAGACTGCTAGTGAATGTTAAAGGTTCATGTCCAGACCCTCAAGCAAAACATAGTCCATCAGGTTCCCATGCAGGTTGGCTCCCCCAGAAATGCACCGTCTTATATCAGTGACCGGTGCCCACAACCTTCACTGGAGCCAGCTACTAGGCACTTGATCTCAGTTGCTGCATTTTATTAAAACATACACGTGGACCTCGAAAGCACCAGAGCTATTGGTGGGAGAAAGTTGCTGGTACCAGACGCCTGTCTGCATTCCTGGACTGGTGGCTGTGGGTGCCACACAGGGACACCCCAGCTCTGCTCCCTGGGAAGAGGCCATATCTGAGTCGGGGTGGCTACAGGGGTTTTCACCGTACGCTGGGAGGGACTCATGAGAGAAAGCTAAAGCCCACGGGCACCTGCCGCCTGCCAGGCCCCAGGGCCAGTGGGGCACCTGCCGGGAGGGAGGCTCAGCTGGTGGTTTAGCAGGCCCAGGGTGGGTGGGGGTCTTGTGATCTGGTGGGACAGCCCTGTAAAGGCCTGGTCCTTCACAAGTGCCCTTGGTGTGGTGGTCCCATTCCTGAGAAGCCATGCTAAGGGAATTTAGCAGAAAGGGCGGGGGGAGTTACATTACTAAGGATCAGTAAATTACCTACAGTATCAAAATAAATGAAGTAAATTGTGATCAATGAAGTGGATGGAACATTACGTAGCCATTGAAATAAGTGTGAACATGTTTTGCATACTAAGTGCTCATACTACATACATGTAAATGTGTGTACAGGGGATCATGTAGATGCACCTGAGCTGCACATGGGGTCACCTGAGAACTGCTGTGACCTGAGCCCCTGCCCGGGACAATTTGGTTGTTGCACTGCTGTACTGGGTGGGAGTGGGGCAGGGTGCTGTGGTCATCTCCGTGCCCCAGTCACCCCACAGAGAATGATGTGGCCTGCGTGTCACCAGTGCCCAGTCTGAGACCCAGACGTGGGGTCCTCAGACGCAGCCGGGGGCTCCGTTGTGTCATGCAGCACAGTGGAGGCCATGGGGTGCACTGTAGAAACAGCAGGTTTGTGTGCGGCCCGAGGGTTTGTGTGACTGCAAATGTTCGTCGGCTCCAGCAGCAGGTCGGGCTGGAGCTCAGTGCCCAGAAGTGAGGATGACACAGGCCCTCGCTCTGGAGGGGGTGCACCTGTGACCCACACAGTCATGCCCCTGCATGGGGGACCCAGGGTGGGGCAGCTCTGCTGGGCGTCCAGTGGATTGAATTCTGGGGTTGGTGCTCCAGGAGGGCGAGGACAGTGAGGCTGCCTTCTGGGGCTCGTGGGGGTCACAGACCCCTGGATGGGGAAAACGCTGAGGGGTGAGATGAGGGGCAGAGCAGAGAACAACCCTGCGAGAGGACAGGGCTGTGCTGGGTATGAGGCCCCGAGACCCCTGAACCCGGGAGAGTCCAGGTGGGTCAGGCAAAGATGGACAACCGAGCGGCGCTGACACTGCAGGTGCCGATGGCCGCTGCCTGTGCTCAGGAGCAGGCCTGCAGGGAGCCGAGAGCTGAGGGACGCCCTGGGCACCTGGGGGCGTGCGGCGGACAGATTGCAGGTGGGGGCTGCCAGTGTTTCTGGCGGCACATCACTGAGTGCCGTGGAGGGAGGGGTGTGGAGGGGACGGCGGGCGGCTCAGTGGTGAAAGGGGGTGAGCTAAATGTTTGCTTTCACACCGACAGCCAGCCACTCCAGCCCAGAACTTGGGCAGACGCTACCGTAGCACGGGTGACGCGGCTTCCTGCCTCTGTGGTCCTCCCGCATCTCCGCCCTTCACCTGTGCCCATGGCCACTCCCCTGGTTGCCGTGGAACCTGCATCCGCTGCCGTTTACCTAAAAGCTGCTGTGTTTGCTTCCTTCCTGGACAGATGACAAGACGTTCCAGTGTGAGATGTGTTTCAGATTCTTCTCCACCAACAGTAACCTTTCCAAGCACAAGAAGAAACACGGGGACAAGAAGTTTGCTTGCGAAGTCTGCAACAAAATGTTCTACCGCAAAGATGTCATGCTGGACCACCAGAGGAGGCACCTGGAAGGTGAGCTTGCCTGCCTGGGGGCTGGCCCCTAGGGGTGGGAGGCAGCGGGGGCCAGCCCATGCTGTCAAGAGCTCTGTGGACCCAGCTCGGCTCTGCCACCGTCTGATGGAGTCGTCATGCAGGGGAACTCAGCTCAGGTCAAGAGACAGAGTCCACGGTGTTGGGTGTTAATGGAAACAGTTGGAAATGTCCCAAGTGTCCAGGAGGGAAAGCGTTCAGGAAACTGGCTCTTCATCGGATTGAATGTCATGTGGTCATTAAAAACATTTCTCTCCAAGCTCTTAAATATTATGAGAACATGCTTTCAACATGAGAGGAAGTAAGAAGAAGAGCATGAAACTGCGTGGGGTATCTTTCCTCTGTGCGCGTGGGCAGGAGGTCCCAGGCGGAGGCGGCTGTGGCCCGTGACCTTTTCCCACGCTCTTCCTCCTCCGCGCGTCCCCAGGGGACTCGGACGCCCTCACTGCTCGCAGCAGGCTGGGGCACGGGCCGCCTGTCCACGTGGTGGGTCTCATCGGCGCCAGAGCCGATGGACTTCAGTGGGGCCGGTTATGGGGTGAGGTGAGGTAATGCGATGGAGCTGGGAACAAGGCACGGCGTTTGGGGGCGCAGGGGGCGGAGCCTGAGTTGTGCAGGCAGCACCCGTGTGGGAAGGCGCGGGCACTGAGCAGGGAAGCGCTGGTGTGTCCCGAGCCCCACGAGCCCTCCTGAGGGGCCTGCGACGGCAGTCCTGACTTCCCCTCCGAAACACCGTCTCGTTGACCAGCCCCCACCGAGCAAAGCACCTTTTAATAAAAGCGTGAAAAAGTCATTTGCTAAAGAATTGCCAATGAAATACAGTTAAGTGCTCAATTAGCAGCATCAGTAGGTCCTGCGACTCGAAGTGAGGTGGCAGGTGACGGAAGCAGTGTTACTGCAGGCTCAGTGGCACACGGGAGTTAGGTCCTCCTGCATCTCAGCAGCGTCACGATGAAACCACGTTATCTGAGGACCTGCTGTTTGTGGTTGTTGGGAACAAACAGCGAAGTTGTGTGTAGAGCTGACCGCCACACAAGTGTGCGTGTACCGTGCCGTCACCTGCTTGAACGAGGCTGGAACTGCGGTGCCTCCGCCAGCTTTCGCCTGGCTCCTCCTCACGTGACCTCGTGGGGTCCAGCACGCTCTCCTCTGTGAGGCGTTGGGTGGTGCACGTAGGACTCAGGAGCCAAACTTAGTGACTGGGGGGCCTGGGTGTGCTAGGGTGCCTCGGTTTCCTCACTTGTGCTGTGGGGGTGACTGTCTTGCCTGACTCCCTGCACCACCAGAAGTCAGTGTTTCCTGACCGACAGATCCCTGTACGCAGGTTGCATTTTACAGCTTTATCTTACAAATGATACATATAACTCATCATTTTCTGCTGGAATAAACGCTGCGGTGGCCATTTGGGGGTTCTCCCTTCACCCTAGAGTGTAGTGTGAGCCCCGCGCTGGCCTGGTACGCTGTGGGCCCCGCAGCCGGCGGAGGCTCTGTCTTCTCGGGCGTTCCCGTGGCCAGCTGGGCATCCGCTCCGTGTTGGGGAGGAGCGTCCCGGAGCCGGTCAGCTGTGCAGGAAGGGAGACCACGAGAAGTGAGTTTCCCTCCTGTTCAGAGACAACCTGTTTCACGCAAACCTCTAAAAACCCGTTTCCATCCCAGTTATGAACAATTATGCCTGAAAGCCACCCTGATCCTGATTCAACTGATTTAATTGGAAGGATGAATATTAGCCTCTTTTTAATAAAAAGAGCCATCTCTGACAGGGACGAACATCTCCCTAAGGTAGTTCGTCACATTCTTCCACGTTGTAGAATGGAACACTCGCTGCCTCGTGTGTCCAGATGTCCCCATGCAAGAACCATGTCACCAGACCCTGTGGGCACATGCATCTCCTGACCCTGGGTCTGCAGGAGCAGCGGTTAGTGCCGAGGCCCACATCATAGCCCGGTGACGCCGCCCACTCATTCATTTGTCCCCACGCTGTGGGCAGCTGTCTCCCGTCCTCTGAAATGACACTGGGCCGAAGCAGAACTGATCGACATCACGTATTCACTCTCTTGCTTGGGCGGGTGGGCATTTCAGGAGTCAGGCGGGTGAAGAGAGAAGACCTGGAGGCCAGCAACGAGAGCCTGGTGCGCTACAAGAAGGAGCCTTCAGGATGCCCCGTGTGTGGCAAGGTAACCCCGCCCCGCCCCGCCCCGCCCCGCCCCGCCCCACTGCGGCGCGGTCTGGAACAGAACGCTCACCGTTTCCCTGGGCTAAAGCTCAGAGCTCTCCCCTCCGACTGTCCCGGGAGCAGTTCGGGTGGACGTGGACGCCCACTTGTTTCCTCGTCATTTTGACCTTTTACTTGGAGCTGGGTCTTCAGTGACTGAGCTTAGAAAGGAGCGCTTCCTCTTTTGGAGCCTTTTTCCTTTTTGCCACGATTTGCGCCTGTGTGCTCCTGGTGCCCACGCTCTCGCGCTCTCCTCGTCACATGAGACCTGCCCGTGTGGCAGAGACCTGAGAGCGCACTGGGGAACTGGGGCTGTTGGGGCTGGTCTCCCCGGTGGCGTTTCTGAGCCACAGCACCAGTAACCCCACGACCACGGACGTTCCCTGGCACGTTCTCTGAGTGAGTGGAGTGTGACGTACCCTTAGGAGCAGATCCGTCCAGGAGGCGTCTGAGGGGCCAGCAGAGGCTGACTTCTCAGCAGACAAGCCGGATCGTAAATGTCTAGAAGTTCACTGCCGTCAGAGGAGCCCCCGGGCACTGTCGGGCGGTCAGGCCTGCGTCAGCACTGTGCTGGAGCCTGTCCTGGCACTGCCCCCGAGCCACGGCAGGGCGCCACAGAACGTGGTGGTGGTCGTTGCGAATGAGCTCCATGGGCTTGTGCTCACCTCCCACGACTCTAGAACGTGGCAAGGTCAGCTCTGTGCCAGGACTAGAACTCATGTCCCTCTTCGTGTGCCAGGCACGTGCTGCAGAGGGGCTCCCAGGGGCTCCCAAGTGGGCTCTGTGCCACCACAAGCAGCGGGTGTGGGGAGACGTAACCACCAGTGTGGGTACAGTTGCCGAGTCTCAGCCACGTGCCGTCCACATGAGCCGCCCGGTGCTGGGGCCCTGGAGCCCTGGTCCGCCCTCCGCAGCCACCAGGTCCAGACAGGAGAGAGCGGTGGCCACAGGCGGACAGCCCATGGTAACTTGGCCCAGCCTGCCGCCACGTGGCAACATTGTCTGAGTGTTTGACCTTCTTGAGAGAAGATGGAGACTGTGTTTATGGTCACGGCCTACCCAGCCAGCCCTGTGTTGTGACAAGTGCCTCACGTCCTGCCTCTTTGGCCCACAGGTGTTCTCCTGCAGGAGCAACATGAACAAGCACCTGCTGACCCACGGCGACAAGAAGTACACCTGCGAGATCTGCGGCCGCAAGTTCTTTCGCGTGGACGTGCTCAGGGACCACATCCACGTCCACTTCAAGGTATCGGCCAGTGCCGCCCTTTCCTGGGCGCCCACCCGGCCTGGTGGGCCTCGGCCAGGGTCGAACTCGTCAGCTTGGCCACACGCCCCTTCCAGGCGGTCCTCACAGCTGCTTGCTGGTGGCGCGCAGCCCGCGGCAGGGCTCCGCCCCCCGGATCGGAAGGTGGTGGTGCTTCCCTCTCCCTGCCTTTGCGCAGAGGGAGGGGTTGGCCGGAGCGGGGCAGCGAGGTTCGGGGTCGTTATTAAGAGCAGGCGAAGTGTTGATCCAGGGAAAATGAAGAGTTGACAGGTGGTGCTGAGGCCCAGATGAAGGGGGCGCACACCTGAGATGCCCGCTGCCCGCAGCTCTGACTGGGCAGGTACCAGTGGGTGCAGATTTGTGGATCAAGCTGGGGTGGAAGGAGGGGCCCAAGGGCGGCACCCTCGGGGCAGCAGGGCTTAGACCCGGCAGGGACCTGCCCTGTCCCAGCTGGAACGGCGCCCTGAGCCCTGCCTCGGAAAGTAGGGTCCAGAAGCACTAGATTGGACCCCGCGAGTGCAGGGCTCCGCAGGGCTGGGTGCCGTGCCGTGTGCCCCAAGCAGGTGCTTGTCCTTGGACTTGCTCTTCCAAAGGTGTTGCCCCTTCTTTGCCAACAGAAAGTAGGGATTCAGTTTGGGTTGATGTGAGAACTCACAGTAGAAGAAATGGACCTGTGCCTTTGTGAAAACCTTTGTGCTTCCGCCAGAGGGAGCAGAGGGAGAGGGGATGCAAACTGTCCCCAGGAACCTTGTTTCCCTCCCCAAGCCCTAAATTTTGCTACTGATGAAACCGGCCAGCAGCGCCGTGCACCCCGGTGGCCTCTGCCCGACAACGGCTGGTGGCAGGGAGAGTGGGGAGCTGCGAAGACGGAGCCGACCGCCATGCGTGGCGAGACCTCCTCCACTGCAGACGTGGCTGCTGACCCCCGAAACGTGCTCCCTCAGCGCCTCGGCTTGCCCCACGCAGCTGCTCCCCCTGGCGTTCCTGCCTGTGGAGTGACTGCTGGAGTATTTCTCGCAGTGTTTTTCAGAGAAGGGAATGGAACTTTAGGAACTTCAGGGCAGGCCCGGCCACATCGCCCCGAAAGGCCTTGCAGCCCGCCGATTCCGCTCGCGGACAGAGCCGCCGCCGAGGCCAGGGATGTTCGGCAGCACCAGGCTCCGACCCCGGCACATGGGGCAGGGGTTTTGCTGTCCCTGCCCTCACTCACCCTCAGTGGGTGTCGGCACTGGGCACTGCAGTGCCCTGAATGCGCGCAGGGGCCTGGCGGGTTTGCCGTCGGGGAGGTGGGTGTGCTCAGGGGACTGAGCATCTGCGTCGGGCCAGGGCCTGTCCCAGCAAGGACGCAGCAGGCGGGAGCTCGTAGGACTTCCTGCCCCTCAGAGAGGCTCTGCCCTCTGCACGTGGGGATAAACCAGTCAGAGCTTTGCCAAGCGTATTAGAAGTCAGACTGTGACTCTTCCAGGACATCGCCCTGATGGACGACCACCAAAGGGAAGAGTTCATTGGCAAGATCGGGATCTCCTCAGAAGAAAACGATGACAACTCCGACGAGAGCGCAGACTCGGAGCCCCACAAGTACAGCTGCAAACGGTGTCAGGTGACTTGACGCTCGGGAGTCAGGAAAGGAAGCTCGGACCACAGGGCCGCGGGACCCGGCAGGCTCGGGCTCGCTAGGCCGGGTCCCTGTGTCACAGGCATCCCGGCTGGTGCCCCCTGGCACTCTGGTTCTTAGGGATGGCCGTGGTCTCACTGCTGTCACACGGACCACCCTCTCAGAACCAGTCTCCTGACCGGCCTGTGCATGGCCGAGGGGCTCACCGGGTGGGATCTGGCTCTGTGGAGGTCAGCCGCGGGAGGGGCCTCCTCGCCCCACTCCCCCTCCCCTCGGGCCAGCAGCCCTGCACCACGGCCTGCCCCCCTGCCCCCGTGTGGAAGAGGCGGGAGCTCAGGGACAGTTCTGTTCTTGAGGGGCCCTGGGCTCCGTTTCAGCGCCTGCTGGTCGAGGGGTCCCTGCCCTGGGCTGCGCTGCCTGGGAGAGCGCAGCTCACTCTGAGAGCAGGAGCCCGTGTCCTCCGTGTGCACTGTCCCGTGTGCTCATCGGCACCTGGCCGGGCCCTGTCAGGCCAGAGGCACAGGGAGAGACGGAGTTCAGGTGGGTGGAGAAGAGGCAGAGTCAGGGCCCTGCTGGTCTGGAGAGGAGGTGGGGAGGCCCAGGAGGAGCTGGGGTCCACTTCTCACAGTCCCCTGCTACACGGTTTGGCCCGGCGTTGGCCCTGCCCCTGCCCCTAGGAGGGCCCTCCTCATCCGCCAGGGTGATGGGCTCTCATGGCATCCCTGCACTTTGGTGCGTGGCGGTGCGTGCTGAGCTGCAGGGGCCGGGCTGTGCGTGGGGTCAGCTGAGTGCCTGTCCGCAGCTCACCTTCGGCCGCGGGAAGGAGTACCTGAAGCACATCATGGAGGTGCACAAGGAGAAGGGCTACGGCTGCAGCACCTGCAACAGGCGCTTCGCCCTGAAGGCCACCTACCATGCCCACATGGTCATCCACCGTGAGAACCTGCCGGACCCCAACGTGCAGAAGTGAGGCTCCTGGGGCTGCGGGTGCGGCGCTGGGTGGTGCCTGAGGGAGGTACAGAGAGACCATGCGCGAACGAGCAAGTCCGTCTGCTCTGCGAGCCCGGCCGCTTCCTGGGGAGGCTCCTTGCACATCTGTCCTCCACCAGCCCCGTCCCGTCCCGCCCCACGTTCCTCCTGCCGGACTCCGCACCAGCCGCCGCCTTGCAGGCCTGTGGAGTCACCCAAAGCCCCCCACCCGTGATTAGAGCCCTGAGGCCAGCCCCCCATCTGGCTGCAGCCCAGAATCAGTGCTCTGAGCCTGAGTGGGTGCACGGTGAGGGCTGCAGTGGCCAGCTCGGGCTGCCGTGACAGGACCACAGGCTGGGCGCTTGAACACCAGTGTGTGGTCTCAGTTCCGGAGGCCAAGGCGTCGCAGGGCTGGTTCCCTCGGGCTGGGAGAGACTCTGCTCCAGGCCTCTCTCCTGGGCTTGGAGACGGCCACCTTCTCCCTGTGTCTTCACATGTCGTCCCTCTACCCATGTACTGTCCCAGTTTCCCTTTTCTCAGGACACCAGGCATGCTGGATTAGTGCCCGCTCCCATGACCTCAGTTAACTTACTTGTTAAGACCCCATCTCCAAACACAGTCATATTCTGGGAACCGGGAGTTAGGGCTTAAACACGGATTTGAGTCGGGGGACACAGCAAGCCCATGCCAGCCCTACGGTCTCGTCTTTCATCATCTCCATTACACCTGTTTGGTCTCACCTTTGCTGATCCCTGTGCTTAGGGAAGGTGCACCTGCTGCGGACGTCCCGAGGCTGCGGGGCCGCCCTGAGGCTTCTGTCTGGTTTCAGGTACATTCACCCCTGCGAGATCTGCGGGCGCATCTTCAACAGCATCGGGAACTTGGAGCGGCATAAACTCATCCACACGGGTAGGTGCTCCTGTCTGGACGTCCGCAGGGCCCTGAGCTGAGCTGAGCGGACCGGCTCCTGCGGGCGTCGTGTGCAGGGCGGTCACGCATCGTCCCTCGGTGCGTTCTTCAGTCCCCGCTTCTCCCGTCCTGGCCGTATCTGCTCCCAGCACGGCCTCTCCCTGCCTCGCCACCAGCTCCAGGTCCTCAGGAAGGGATGGCTCCGTGCCTCCAGCTGTAGGCTGCCTTCCCTCCCTGTTACTGCCTTTACACCGGAACCACGGATGCGGATCTTACAGGCTTGAAATTTGGATCCGTTTGTTTGTAAGGTGTGAAGAGCCACGCCTGTGAGCAGTGTGGGAAGTCCTTCGCCAGGAAGGACATGCTGAAGGAACACATGCGGGTGCACGACAACATCCGGGAGTACCTGTGCGCCGAGTGCGGGAAAGGTACGTGCGGGGCGGGGCGCCCGGCCACGCACAGACCCCGGGTCGCAGGTGTGCCACCAGCTGTAGCTCTAACCAGAGGGTGTGCGAGAACTGGCACATCAAGGTGAGGGGTCGCCACAGCCACCAGAGGTCGCCCAGACCTATGTCATTTACTGACTAGAACCAGCCATGAGCCACAATGATTTACTATGACCAGTGATCACTGTGACCTTTATTTTAATCAAGTGAAATTAGTTCATGATAAACCTACTCATAAAATATCTCATCAGTAAATGAAATTCCTAAAAAAGATAATCCCATTCCATGGTGAAATTTTAACCCATTTGTTTTTTTACAAAACCACTAACACTACCCAGAACCCTGCGCAGTGCATCCTCCTTTGGCCTTTTTGAGCAGCCACTCAGCGGAGAGCAGCAGGTCCTCCCGTGCCGTGCAGGACCGAGCGAGTTTGCCTGCTGGTCGTGAGGCTCTGTTTAAGATGTCAGGCTCCGTAAAGGTGTTGTTTAGTCCTTTTGTTCATTGAGACATAATTCACATACAACGCCGTGAAAGTGTGAAGTGTACAACGCATTGGTTTGGTCCATTTATAAACTGCAGTGATTACTACAGTGGGGTCAGCTAGTGCCTCTGTCACATCCCATATTTATCATTTCTTTTTTAAAATTTTTATTTGTTGATTTGAGAGAGAGAGAGAAATAATGATCTGTTCCACTTATTCATGCACTCATTGATTGATTCTTGTATGTGCCCTGATGGGGGATTGAACCTGCATCCTGGTTGTATTGGGATGATGTTCCGACCAATTGAGCTGCCCAGCCAGGACCATCATTTCTTTTTTATTGAGAATAGTTCAGATCTAGACTCTCAGCATCTTTGACGTTTATAATATAACATTGTGAACTGTCGTCACCGTGTTGTGCGTTGGATCTCTAGTTCTTCGTCTGCTGTTTGCTGTTAAACAACCTCACCCCAAGTCCCCCACCAGCCCCTGGTAACCACTATTCTACTCGGCTTCACAAGTGCAGTTTTTAAAGTATCGGCTTATGTGATATATAGTATTTGTCTTCCTCTGACTTACCTCACTTAGCATGATAACTTTAAGGTCCATCCATGTTGTCCCAAATGGCAAGACTTCCTTCTTTCTCGTGGCTGAGTAACGTCCTTTTGTATATATCACATCTTTTTCGTCCATTCCTCTATGCTGGACACTCAGGTTGTTTTCTTCCTTGGCTCTTGTGACTAATGTAGTAGTGAACATGGGGTGCAGATGTCTCTTCAGGATTCTGTTTTCATTTCCTTTGGATAATACCCAGAAATGAAATTGCTGAATCATATTGTAGTTACATTTTTAATTTTTTGAAGAACTGCCATTCTATTTTCCATGGTGGCTATACCCATTTTCATTCCCACCAACAAGGGTTCCCTTTTCTCCACATCCTGACCAATATTGATAATTCGTCTTTTTTATAAAAGTCATTTAAACTGGTGTGAGGTGGTATATTGTTGTGGTTTCGAATTGCACGTTTTCAGGTACCTCTTGACCATTTGTAAGTCTTTAGAAAGTTGCCAGTTCAGGTCTTTTGCCCATTTTTAATTGGATTTTTCTTCTTTTTAATTTCCCGCTATTGAGTTGTATAAGTTCTTTGTATTTTGGATATTAGTCCAATATATGTTTTGTGAATCTTTTCTCTGATTCTGTAAGTTGTCTTTTCAATTGTTTGATTGTTTCCTTTGCTGTGTGGAAGCTCTTCAGATTAATGTAGTCCCACATATTTATTTTAGTCTTTGTTGCCTGTGCTTTGGGGACTTATCTAAGAAATCATTGCCTCTACCAGTGTCAAGGATTTTTACCTTATGTTTTCTTTTAGGAGTTCTGTGGTTTCAGGTCTTACATTTAAATATTTCATCCATTTTGAGTTCATTTTTGTGAGTGGTATAAGATAGGTGTACAGTTTCTTTTACATATGGATACCCAGTTTTCCCAATAGCATTTCTGTTTTTATTTACTTTATTTTTTGTTAATCCTCACTTGAGGATATTTTTCCATTTATTTTTAGATAGAATGGAAGGGAGGGAGGAAAGGAGGGAGAAAGAGAGAGAGAGGGTGAGAGAGAGAGAGAGATATCAAACTGAGAGAGACACACTGATTGGTCACTTCCCTGACCAGGGCCAGGGCTTGAACCTGCAACTCAGGTACATGCCCTTGACTGGGAATAAAACCTGAGACCCTGTGGTCTGTGAGCCAATGCTCTAAGCCCTGAGCCAAACCGGCCAGGGCTCAAGACCGTTGATTGAAGAGACTCTTTTCCCCATTGTGTGGTCTTGGCACCCTTGACAAAATTTAGTTGATTCTTTTTATGATGGTTTATTTGTGGATTCTCTGTTCTGTTTCATGGATCTATGTGCCTGTTTTTGTGCTAGTACCATACTGTTTTGATTACTATAGCTTTGTAATATATAATGTTTCAGGTATAGTGATACCTCCAACTTTGTTCTTTTTTCTCAGGATTGCTTTGGCTACTTGGGGTCTTCTGTGGTTCCAAACAAATTTTAGAATAGTCTTCCTATATCTGTGAAAAATGTCATTGGAATTTTTATCGGGATTGCATTGAATCTGTTGATTGATTTTGGTAGTCTGGGCATTTTCACAAGATTAATTCTTCTAACCCATGAACAAGGGAAATCCTTCCATTTATTTGTATCTTCAGTCTCTTTCATCAACGTGTTGTAGTTTTCGGTGTACAGGTCTTTCACCTCATTGCTTAAATTTATTCCCAAGTGTTTTATTATTTTCAATACTATTGTAAATGGCATTGGTTTCTTAATTCCTCTTTCATATAATCTGTTATTGTATAGAAATGCAACTAACTTTTATAGGTTGATTTTGTGCCCTGCAAGTTTACTTGATTCATTTATTAGTTCTAAGTTTTCTAGTAGAGTGCCTAGGGTTTTCTATATATCAGATAATGTCATCTGTGAACAGAGCGAATGCTTCCTTTCTGATCTGGATCCCTTTAGTTTTTCTTGCCTGTTGGCTCTGTGTAGTACTTCCAGTGCTACACCGGATAGAAATGGCAGGAGTGAGCATCCTTGTCTTGTCCCTGATCTTGAAGGAGAGGCTTTCAACTTTCAACATTAAGTATGATGTGGGTTTGTCAAATTTGTCTTTATTATGTTGAGGAACATTCCTTGTGTACTCAACTTACTGAGCATTTTTATAATGAAAGGATGTTATATTTTGTCAGATGCCTTTTCTGCATTTATTGAGATGATCATATGACTTTTGTCAAACTTCATTCTATTAGTGTGGTGTATTATGTTGATTGATGTGAATGTTGAACCATCCTTGGATCCCAGGGATGAATCCTGTTGGATCATGGTGAATAGTCCTTTTAATGTGCTGTTAAATTCAGTTGGCTAATATTTTGTTGAGTATTTTTACACTTATGTTCATCAGGGATATTGGTCTGTAGCTTTCTTTTCTCATGGTGTCTTTGTGTGGCTCTGGTATGAGGGTAATACTGCTTTGTAAAATGAGTTTGGAGTATTTCCTCCTCCTCAATTTTTTGGAGGAGTTGGAGAAGGATTGGTGTTAATTCTTCTTTAAATGTTTGGTAAAAATAACCAGTGAGACCATCTTCCTTTGTTTGGTTTTTAAAATTAAAAAGTATGAAGAAAACATAAGTGCCTCATAATTCCACTCACTGGATAACCCCTACTAGCCAATACGATGGCAAGTAAAAGGCTAAAAGAATTAACTGCAGAGAAAAGCAAAAAGTGAGAAGCTCCCTTTCTCTCCTCCCGGCCCTCAGTTCCTTCCCCCGAGGCCACCGTTCTGGTCTCGCTCCCAGAATAACGTGGTGCCAGAGCAGCGTGCAGATTGTTTCGTTGGAAACGTAACACAGACGCCCAACCATGCTCCAGCGGGTGGTCAAGACAGAGGTGTTATTCCCACCTCAGACCTCAGTTACGCACGCTCTTCAAAGAATCCACTGTTCGTTGTGTGGGGGAACAGCTCCAGCGGTCTCTATGCCTGTCTCAGTGATGGCCCTGCCGGCTCCGCTCCAGCGGTCTCTACGCCTGTCTCAGCGATGGCCCTGCCGGCTCCGCTCCAGGGGTCTCTATGCCTGTCTCAGCGATGGCCCTGCTGGCTCCGCTCCCGCGGTCTCTATGCCTGTCTCAGTGATGACCCTGCCGGCTCCGCTCCAGGGGTCTCTATGCCTGTCTCAGCGATGGCCCTGCCGGCTCCGCTCCAGCGGTCTCTACGCCTGTCTCAGCGATGGCCCTGCCGGCTCCGCTCCCGCGGTCTCTATGCCTATCTCAGTGATGGCCCTGCCGGCTCCCCTCCAGGGGTCTCTATGCCTGTCTCAGTGATGGCTGTGCCGGCTCCGCTCCAGGGGTCTCTATGCCTGTCTCAGTGATGGCTGTGCCGGCTCCGCTCCAGGGGTCTCTATGCCTGTCTCAGTGATGACCCTGCCGGCTCCGCTCCAGGGGTCTCTATGCCTATCTCAGTGATGGCTGTGCCGGCTCCGCTCCAGCGGTCTCTATGCCTGTCTCAGTGATGGCCCTGCCGGCTCCGCTCCAGGGGTCTCTACGCCTGTCTCAGTGATGGCTGTGCCGGCTCCGCTCCAGCGGTCTCTATGCCTGTCTCAGTGATGGCTGTGCCGGCTCCGCTCCAGCCCCTACCTTTGCCGGAGCTCGTCCAGCCCCTTCCCCCTTGCTGCTCCCAACCCCTCATCTGGAGGAAACTAGGTCAGGGTAGAGGTGGGCAGGGAGAAACCATACCTAGGCTCCCCAGGGGTCCCCGAGTCCTGCTCAGCAGGGCGTACACTGAGGTCAGAGCCACCTCTTACAATATTATTTTTCTTTTTATATTTGAAATGTATTTAATGAGTAGTTTAAAGACTTTTTCCATGAGTCCTGAATACTTTCAGTAAAGACTGGTATTATTCCTTGGGCTACGACATTTATTTCACATAATCCCAAAGCATTGGTACTGTCCTTTGCTGTTACAGCGTAGTCACCAGCATGGACAAGCAAATGCCCATGGTTAGCCGTTCTCTCTGTCCCTTTCACGTGTTTGAAAATCCATCTTAGACATCCTTTCATTCAGGACAACTAAATTCTGCTTTGATTCTCCTCAAAACCTTGATAGCATTCATCCTGTGTATCCTGTAACCAGGTCCTTCTACTGTGTGTGAAGGGCCACTGTGTGTACAGTCTTTCATCATTACAGATGGTGTCGCTGGGAACACTCTTGCATAGTACTCCTTTACACTTTTCCTTGGAAATTCAGGACCTGACTGGGACTTCCCCATGAGAGGCTGTTAGAAGTAATGAGAGTCTTGTAACCTGGCAGCCGGGGCCAGCATGCCATGCCCGCTGCGTTTCCATGCACAGTGGTAGTAGCTGAAGACAGGAAAATACCTTGTTCAAAACCACTTCGGTACCATGAGATGCTCAGGACAGATCTTGGTGAGAGCACCGTGTGGCCTGCGTGAACGCCGTACAGCAGGCCTTTAGAGACAGGAAAAGCCACCCATCTAGGTTTGGGGCTTCTGAGTGTTTAAAAACTCTCTCTGCTTTCCCCTAAGTAAGTTGTAAACGTGATGCAGACTGCGTCGGTCACAGGAGAGAGCCTCGGGACGTCACCCCAAAATGTCCACTGTGTGGCAGTCGTGTGTTTTAATACTGGTCTCAAGTTTTATTTTTTAAACTGGAAAGAAAAACAGGACTGTCGCCAACACTGACTGGGACGAGAGGTCAGGATGGGGGCAGACTTTGTCATCTCTTTGCTTCTGAACATTTTCTCTGTGTGTGTGACTGTTATTTTTGTGATTTAGAATCAATTAATTTTAGATGCACATGGGAGAGAGGTGCTAGATGGGGCAGCACAGTAAGGACCAGCTCCCTCTGTTCATTTACCCACTGGGTGCTGACCCTGCAGTGACCATCCCATCAAGGGTCAAAGCCAAGAGGCTGCTGTGGCAGCACAGCTGGGGTGCTCCCAGTGCCGTGAGGGGAGAAGGCAGGCAGCTGGCGGATGTTGGGTGGGAGTATAAATTGGTACAGTTGGGGTGGGCATTTGGGAAGTTAGCTGCAGCTAGAAGAGTGTCCTGTTTACCTACTGGACAGAGTGTGTTTGCTACGTAAAGATCCTTCCACGGGCGCACTGTTTGTGACGGAATAGTTTAAAACACGGAGGAATTGATTATTGTGGCCTCAGGGCCTCTGCACTGGCGGTTCCCCCACCAGGAATGCTATTCCTCGGAGTCGCTCTTGGTCCCTCCCACTCTTCCAGGTCACTTTTTCAGATGCCTCAGCTGAGGGGGATCCCCTCACACCCATTCCCGCAATGAGCCAGCATCCTGGCTGCCTACCCTCCTGCCATCCTCATCCTCTTCGTTCTGCTTCTCTTCATCCCTTCTCATGTGACCCTCCGCCTTGGCTTCTCTGCCCCTACCCTTGAAAATGGGGGCCTTGTTTGGCTCCCTGCTCGGCCCTGGCACCTAGAACAGTGTCAGGCTGTGGTAGGAGCTCAGGTGTCTGTAATGAACAAACAGGCCATGAGTACTATGCGCTGTTGAGAGCAGTGCTGTGGTCAGGCGGGGCCTGATGTTGAGACAGTACCAAATGGTAGAGCCAACAGAAGCCGGACAGCCGAGGGTCCTGGGGTGCGTGGCCAGAATGTGCCCAGGAGTGTGTCCTGGTGCCAGCATGACCTGGAAGGGCAGGCTGCTGGAGTGCCATCCTCTGCGCTAACCTCTGGTCACCTGTAGTTTTTTTCATTATGGGCGTGGGTGATTTTTTTAAGGGGAAAATGCTGCCCCGCCGTTGGTGCCAGGCCCACACACACCCTCCCCACCCAGAGCCTAGGGAAGCCTTTCTGTATGTATGAGACAGGTGCGTGGCCTTTCAGGGACTCCTGCTCCCTCTGCTGTCTTGGCCTGGCCAGTTTCATGGCTGATGAGAGAACACAGCCAGGAGGTTCATCCAGGCCCACTCTTCAGAGCCCGAGCAGGAGCTGGTTGAAGTTCACGTCTCCGGACGGCAGCAGAGGGTTTTCTGGGTAACCTGGAAGGGAGCTGATGACCAGCTGCAGAGAGGACTCTGGGCAGTGGTCCTCCCACTGCTGTTACTGAGGCCAGTAAAGTAATCTGCCCCCACCATTGCCCTTGCAGAGGCCAGTTTCTGGGTGGTGGTGAGTTAGTGGTGGCCTATCTACTGTCACTTGCTGGGTCAACCTATAGCCAGTGGGATAGATGCACCTGTTATGTGCTTGTGAGCTGCTGCCCCCTGCCCTAGAGTGCCACCTGCCTACAGTCCCTGAGCTCCCACACTAGCCCTTCCTGGGTAGCATTGCCCACCTAGTGGGGTCCCAGGCTAGGACCCTCAGCCCCTAATTCACACCCTGAACTGGGTGGTCCCTCTCCACTGGCCTAAGGTGGTACCATATTTCACATCCTTCAGCAAAGGTTGACTTTGATGTGAAACTGAAGGTAGGTTGAAAGTCCGGGCTGAGACTGTAGAGTTACTATCCCCACTGACCCTATTCCTGATCCTCACTTTCACATCACCACTGCCGACAGGAAACTTCAGGCTGCACAGTTCTTCCCCAGTGACTCCAGCTGAGTCTCAATAGTACGCTTGGGACATTTGCATAGGTCTCCTTGCTTTGAGCTCCGACCGTCAGGGTGGGGCCAGCATTGATGAGATGAGCTGTTTAGACGTTGACAAAAAATCCTAAGGGCCTCCAGTGGCGCATCTGCCTGCCTCCCCGGGTGGAGAGCCTTTCAGAGACGAGCACCGCCCTTCCCCTCCACCCATCTGCAGTCACTGACACCTGTGCCTGCCCAAGGGTCCAGGCTGTGGGCCCCGTGGGGGCTCCGGGCCTGAGCAGGGTCCTGGATACTGGGCGCGGGCACGATGGCGGGGGGCAGGTCCCGGGCGCGGGCACGATGGCGGGGGGCAGGTCCTGGGCGCGGGCACGATGCGGGGGCAGGTCCTGGGCGCGGGCACGATGCGGGGGCAGGTTCTGGGCGCGGGCACGATGGCGGGGGACGGGTCCTGGGCGCGGGGACGATGCGGGGGCAGGTCCTGGGCGCGGGCACGATGCGGGGGCAGGTCCTGGGCGCGGGCACGATGCGGGGGCAGGTCCTGGGCGCGGGCACGATGCGGGGGCAGGTTCTGGGCGCGGGCACGATGGCGGGGGACGGGTCCTGGGCGCGGGCACGATGCGGGGGCAGGTCCTGGGCGCGGGCACGATGCGGGGGCAGGTCCTGGGCGCGGGCACGATGGCGGGGGGCAGGTCCTGGGCGCGGGCACGATGGCGGTGGGCAGGTCCTGGGCGCGGGCACGATGCGGGGGCAGGTCCTGGGCGCGGGCACGATGCGGGGGCAGGTCCTGGGCGCGGGCACGATGCGGGGGCAGGTCCTGGGCGCGGGCACGATGGCGGGGGGCAGGTCCTGGGCGCGGGCACGATGGCGGTGGGCAGGTCCCGGGCGCGCACGGTGGTGCGGGTGGGGCATGGCGGGCGCCCACCTGCCTCTGTCCGGCAGGCATGAAGACCAAGCACGCGCTGCGCCACCACATGAAGCTGCACAAGGGCATCAAGGAGTACGAGTGCAAGGAGTGCCACCGCAAGTTCGCGCAGAAGGTCAACATGCTCAAGCACTACAAGCGCCACACGGGTGAGTCCTGGCCCGGGTGCTGGCGCGGGCACCCGCTGGGGCTGGTGGCGAAACGGCGCGGGGAAGAGCGCCTCGTGCTTCTCACTCTCCTTAGCTCCCAGAGGCCCGGGTTCGAGGAGCTCCGAGCTCGGGGGTGCGGGTGCGCAGCTGGCATCTGAGAAGCGACCCCTCCCCGCAGGCGCCCGCTTCGCGTCACTGCGCGTGCGCACAGGAGTCCGGCGCCGGCCAGACTCACCAGCGTGAGTTTGGCGACACCTGCTAGTTCTGCAGGGCCCTTGCCCTGCTCATCCATTTCCTGGCGAGAATGTGTGCCTGGAAAGTGATCAGACAGCGACCCAGAGACACGTACAAGCTGATCTCAGATCTTGGGACATCTTAAGTGTCCATCCGTAGGGCAACGGCTGAATTGTGCGTCCACAAAAGAGAAGAATGCATCCGTTAGGAGTGGTGCGATCCATGTTAGTGTCGTGGAGTTCATGACGCAGTGGGAGCAAAAGCAGCCTCTGCAACGTCAAATATGAGCCACTGTTGAGGAAACATTTACACAGAACCTGAGACCAGATGGAAGCTTACCCCTGGTGATGGATTTGAGTATGACATCTGGCAGGAACCCCTCTACTTTGGTTTTGTGTCCTCCCTAAAATGGCCTTGGGTCTTGCCACTGCTTGGCCCAGCTTACCTGTGCTCCTGTCTCCCTCTCTGCCTCAGCTGACCAGGCCACCATGTAGGTCTGCTTGGGTCCCCACCTCACTGGCTTTGTACAGAAGTGTGTTGTCCTTTTCCTGGGGAAGCTCACCCATTATCTGCTTCACCTTCTCTGGGAAGCTTTCTTGCTCCCCCAGGACTGGAATATTCCCCAACTGCTAGTGGGTGGTGGCCTGTGTCCCCACCAGCCCCTCTTCTAGCCATGAGGAGCCCAGGACCCTGTGCCTACTGGCGGCTCTGTACATACTCACAGGACCCAGTTGGGCGGACCCTTAAACTCACTTGTCTTGTTCCATTTGGGGGAAACCTTCATTTAAGAGGCTTTCTTGGGGACCACATTGTTGTCAGTTTGGGGAGTAAATCAGCCTGATGACCTGATGCTTGCTTGCAGGGTGTAGGCAAGGGGGATGTTGTCCCAGCCTGAGTGACCAGTGGGGGCACTGTGGTCTAGGATGAAGCTGAAGGCAACCTTAACAGTAACCACCTACGTTTCCTAAACGTGGCGTCTTCCCTCCCTTGTCACGAGCTAATGCAGAATAAAGCTTATTGAATCAGATTCTGTCCATTCAGAATGACTGGCAGACCCGTGGGCCCCGGGCTGAAACGGACCTGCCACCATTCCTGAGGAAGGACCTTGCTAAGCCACCTGCAAGGGGCGACTTCCCAAGCCTCAGATCTCTGATGACTGGAAGGGAATGTTTACTGTCTCCTAGCATTCTGCCTGCCCCGGGACCGCATCAGGGGCAGGACACCCGATTTCTGCACCTAAAGCACCACGAAACATCTGAAATTACTGTGCCTTTTTCTGCAGGGATTAAAGATTTCATGTGTGAATTGTGTGGAAAGACTTTTAGTGAGAGAAACACGATGGAGACCCACAAGCTCATCCACACAGGTAAGCAGGGTGCAGCCTGAGGCGTGTCCTGGCCGCATGCCGCAGTCCCGGCGCAGGGAAGCCAGCGGCTCCCTGACCCTGCAGTGCAGGCGGCTTTAGGATGTTTGGTGCCATCCTGCCCTAATGGTGGCCCATGCCCCCTGAAGATCAGCACAACACAACTTTCAAATATCTATTCTTAAATTTTCAAATATTGGAGCAACGATGTGACCCGACGCTCAGTGAGGGGGGAGGCCTCGTCATACGTATCCCAGGCTGTGCTTGTTCCCGTGGCCTGACCTGGGGACGATCTCAACAGCATGTGCAGAGGGTGAAGCACCCTCCCTGCCTTCCTACAGGCTGAGGGACAGCCTTGCTCATGACCTGTGTGTGTCTTTCCCTTCCTGTGTGTGTGTATGTGAAGTGGGCAAGCAGTGGACATGCTCCGTGTGTGACAAGAAGTATGTCACGGAGTACATGCTGCAGAAGCATGTGCAGCTCACCCATGACAAGGTCGAGGCGCAGAGCTGCCAGCTGTGCGGGACCAAGGTTTCCACCAGGGCCTCCATGAGCAGACACATGCGACGCAAGCACCCAGAGGTGAGCATCCTTCTCCCGGCGCCCGCCCCACCCTGGCCTGGACCTTCTGCCCTCCGCCTGGTGCGTGCTTCTGCTGCCCGGAGACCCCTCCACCCTCTGCAGACCCGACTTTCTCAGTGTAAGCCTGGGTCTTGCATCCCTTCTGAATTGCACTGCCTGCAAGTAGGAGGGGGCACTGAATCCTGAGCAGAGTAGAATAGCCTCACCTATTATTTGCTAAGGTTATAAATTAATTTTCACCGGAATTACAGCAAGATGGAATAACAACCCTACTCCCTTGCCCCCATTCTTTCCTTTGGCTAATACAATGTGCAGAGCAGGAAGTGTCCTGATGGTGTTGGGGGGCCGATCACAGGGTGGATTAGGACCCAGAGGGAGAAATTGTAGAGGCAAGAAGACCCTGGCTCATCTGGAAGCTTGTTCTAAAAGAAGGTCCAGGGCATTAAATAACGTATTGTGCTTTAAAAAGAGGCAAACTGAAAAGCAAAACTTGAAGGAAATGCAAGTAAGTAGCTCTTAGGTCACTGACAGGGAAAGACTATCTAAACATAAAAGGCCCTGGCCTGTTTGGTTCAGCGGTTAGAGCGTCAGCCCGCAGACCAGAGAGTCCCAGGTTCAGTTCCCGCTAAGGGCATGTACCTCAGTTGCAGTTTGTCCCGGGCCCCGGTTAGGGTTGTGTGGTTGGCAGCCAGTCGATGTGTCTCTCTCACATCAAGGTTTCTCTCTCTCTCTTCCTCCCTCTCTCTCTCCTGCTCTATCTGAAGATAAATGCAAAAATGTCCTCTGGTGAGGATAAAAAAAAAATAAAGCAACAAAAGGTGTCACGAACAAAACAATCAGTAGATTTAACTGCATAAGCAACCTAACCTTTAGAACTGATGTAGTTCAAAGGATAAGCGAAGGGCAAACTGGAAAATGTGTGTAAGATATTAGAGTTGTTTACAGATACCAACTTCACTGTTAGAGATGAGAAGCATTCAGTGAGCAGAACATGAGGAACGCATGTGTACACGAAAGACAGGCAGTTTGTGAAAGGAAATGCACGTGGTTAAAGAACAGGAAAAAAGCACTCGCCTACATTGAGTCCTAGAAATGCAGATGCTAATGTAGCAGGTGCTACCCTCCATCCATTGAATGAGAAGGATGTTCTAGATTCAAAGTGGCCATGCTGGCCCTGGCCAGTTTGGCTCAGTGGTTGGAGCATCAGCCTGTGGACCAGAGAGTCCCGGGTTCAGTTCCTGCTATGGGCACATACCAAAAAAACAACAAAACAAAACAAAGTGGCCATGCTGGTTGGCATGAGCCGGGCACTGTGCCGTGGCTGTCCTCTGGAAGGTAGCATGGCAGTGTGTCCAGTGCTTTATGAGTGATCCTTTGGACATCTCAATGTCAAGCAAGAGAAACAGGTTAAATTAGTGAAGGGTTAGCAATGTGCCTGACTCTATAAACACACACCCACTTGGTTCGCCATTGGCTGTCACGGGCCCAGCCCATCGGTTCAAAGCTGCATTTCCCTATTGTCTTTCTTAAATAAGCCACACCCACAATGTATAGTCCATCATTTTCCAGTTTCGTTTTCTTTAGTTGAGCAAAAACGTAGAAATGTGCAAAGCTATTTGGAGGGAGAACACTTACCAGACAGATTTTTACAGTTTTTCCTAATCTTATATCATTTTTCCACGACTAATTCCCCTTTTTTAGCAACACGCCTTCACTGTGCCTTTTCTGAGTGTTCGTTCTCTCTCTGCACGTGTGTTCCATTGTGTCACTTATGATCTGATTCACTTAAATAATCACAGTAACAGGGACAAGTGGCATAGGCAGGTTCATGGATAAGACTCGGGGACAGGACCTCGGAACTGGTAAAAGGGACATGTGGGCCACAGGAGGGGGTGAGCACAGCTTGGGGGCTGCACACTCGGGGTGAGGCAGTGTGGCTTACAGAGAGAAGGTGGGGGCAAAAGTACCCACACTTGGGGCAAATTAAAAAGTAAAGTGCTTAAGGTATAAATCTCATTTTTGGTAATTCCTGATGGGACATTGGTTTGATAGCAAGATGAACTGAAATTTCACTTAATGAATGTACATTAGTAGGCAAAAAAGGGAGGAAATACCATGCCCCCCCTCCAGCATGGGTGGGTGGGCATGAAGTGATGCCCAGACAGGTTCAGGGGACACCATGCAGGGGCAAGTTCATTGCAGACGCTCGAGATGCGGGCACATGGTGTGAGGGGAGGACGGGAGAGGATGGGATTCCGGAAGCAAGGTTCAAGGTCAGTCCTGTGTGGAGCCAGGTGGGAAACATGGGGGATGCCCACGTCAGGTAAAGGGAACCGTCCCCTGTTCACTACCCTGTGCTTTCCCGTAGGTCCTGGCCGTGAGGATCGACGACCTGGACCAGCTTCCAGAGACCACCACCATTGACGCCTCCTCCATTGGCATCGTGCAGGTGAGCACAGAGCAGCCTGCAGGGTGGGTGTCGCGTGGGCATTCTAGATACCCACGGGGCGGGGGGGGGGGCTCCGGAACTCATGCTCTGGCAGGTGTCAGGAGCACTGGGGGAAGCCCTGTAGTCCATGCCTTGTGTCTCACCTTCATTTCACATTCTGTCTTTTGGGTCTGTCTTCTCTCCAAGAGCCTTTTAGTTTAAGTTTCTAGGACTTGAAGGAATCAGCGGGTATGATATGGGGGCTGGTAAGTTTAAAACCTGCAGGGCAGAGGGCAGACTGGAGACCCAGGGAAGAGTTGATGTTGCAACTCAAGTCTGAAGGCCAGTGGAGGCAGAATTCCCTTTTCCTCCTGGGACCCAAGTCTTTCTTTAAGGCCTTCACCTGATTGGATGAGGCCCACCCACAATAGAGAGGACAATCTGCTTCACTTAGCGTCCACTGATTGAAATGTTAATCTCGTCTGAAAAATGCCTCCCGGCAACATGTAAACTGATGTTTAACCAAACAAGTGGCTCCCCAGCCCAGCCAAGTGGACACTTACAATGAACCGTCACAGCTGGTTTCCGGAAACGCTTAGCATAGATTGTTACAGGGAATTTGCTTTAATGTATAAGATGAACTTACTTTTCAAAGGGATTTTTAGTCAGTACCTTTATAAGCATTTCTCTCGTCATGAAGAGAACATGTCACACTCTGAGCTATTTCAAAGTCCCTCTTGCACCTCTTTCCTTTGAAACGGTGTCCTGAGCACAGTGCTCGGGCCAGGCCGTGCCGAGTGAGCAGGACCACCTGTGGTGCCCCAGAGGCCCACGCCACCCCTGGCGAGGCCAGTTCCACGATGGCCTGCCCTGGCAGGCGTCCTCTGGGTCTCTCTGCCACTGGCTCGGACCATGTCTCATGGGAGGGCACCGAGGCCCAGGATGGGTGGAGGATGACCAGGGTGGAGTACCTAGCTGGCCACCACTGCCCAGTGGCCTCAGTGACTCTGAGTGAGCCCCTCATGGGTCAGAAGACACCATAGTGCGCCAGCTCCCAGAGAAGTGTGAGGGACACCACCTGGGTTCCCAGAGGAGATGACCATCTTGTTCTTGTGGTCAAACCTGTTTTGATCCAATCGGTTCTGGGGAGGAGAGCCTGATGGGAAGCATTCTTAGCCTGAGGCTGAGCTCATCGTGGCTGAAACAGTGGCTTAAATTTTTGCTTTTTATATTTCTGTTTATATTGCATCACAAAATATAGCTTTGAAAAATACGACTTGTGTGTCGCTTCCTCCACTTAACAAAAATCCCTGAAACTTGCCCCAATCGTTAGAAGTGCAAGTGATCAGATGAACTGTGGTCACTGTTTCCTGTGGCAGCGGGGTGGCCCAAAAGCCTCACCGCGGACCCTGGAGTGTGTCTGGGGACCATGCTGGCCGCCGTGGGGTCACGACCCATCGACCCGCCTGTTTCTGAAAGTTCTTTCCCTGCAGCCTGAACTGGGGCTGGAGCAGGAAGACCTGGCGGAGGGGAAGCCCGTGAAAGCCTCCCGGAGAAGTCACAAGAGGAAGCAGAAGCCAGAGGAGGAGGCAGGGCCGCCCGTGCCCGAGGAGCCTGCCTTCAGCGAATACTCCGAGAAGGAGCCCACGTTCACGGGCAGCGTGGGCGACGAGACCGACTCCGCGGTGCAGAGCATCCAGCAGGTGGCTATTTCCTGTGCTGGAGTCGGGCCCAGTCCCAGTGTCACTGCCCTGGGCATCCCTTCCGTCTGACAGGCCGTGGGTGCCCTCAGCACAGGGCCTGTTTTTCTCTTACACACTCCGTCTCCTAGACGCTTCCCAGCGTAGACCCAGACATCGCACTGTCCGTGTGAATGGCAGCCTGACGTTCTGGGTGCTGAGGAGAGCCAGCTCCCCTGGTGGGGACCCGGGGGCTTGCAGACGGCCTGTGTCCTCACTGTGGACTGGGCCGTGTACCTGCTGATCAGTCAGAGCGGGACTGCACACCAAAGGGGCCCGGAGAGGGTGGAGGAGGGGAGGGTGCGAGCCAGCCCGTGTGCTCCCTAAAATAGAATCTCTCGATTGCTCAGCCTCCATCCCAGCCCTTTGGTCCGAGGCCCCCAAACTTTCATCAGGGGGTGTCTGGTGCTGCACAGACATGCAGTATTTACTTGGCCTCTCACCCCTCATGAGAAAGCAAGCTGCCTTCTTTGTTATTTATTTATTTTTGTTAATCCTCACCCAAGAACATTTTTGTCATTGATTTTTTTTTTCAATAGCATGGAAGGGAGGAAAGGAGAGAGAAAAAGAAACATAGATGTGAGAGAGACACATTGATTGGTTGCCTCCTGCATGCCCCTGACCAGGGCCAGGGATTGAACCTGCAAACCAGTAACGTGCCCTTGACTGGGAATCGAACCCTCAACCCTTGGGCCCTTGGGCTGATGCTGTAACCGCTGAGCCAATCTGGCCAGGGCTGCTTTCTTTGTTCTGTTTTAGCTGCTGGTACTGCAGACTTGTTCGTTGTCCTTCCTTTTAGTTTTCTAGTTGGGCTTTGCATTGACCGGCAGCAAGGAGCTTTAGAGCAGGGAATGTACGGTGAGGTTGATGCTTTGTCTCATTGTTACTTTCTGTTATTTTGTAGTCAGCCAAATCATGTTTCTCAGACACCTTGTGGCTTCTGTGATTATGTCTGTATCTTGTTTCCCCTTTTCACTAGAGTTATTGTTTCAGGACAAAATTAACTTGATTCCATCTGTTACCCAAACAGGCTTTGCCATAGGATGATTCTGGCGTGACAACGCTGCCTCTGTCACCAAAGTGGCAAGGGACCTTCTGTCGTTCTTCGTTGTGCAGAAACTGTTTAACTGTTTCATGTTGTCTGTGACTCTTGCAGGTGGTGGTGACTCTGGGTGACCCGAACGTGACCACTCCATCGAGCTCCGTCGGATTGACCAACATCACCGTGACACCCATCACCACAGCAACCGGGACTCAGTTTACCAACCTCCAGCCGGTGGCCGTTGGGCACCTGACCACCCCAGAACGTCAGCTGCAGCTGGACAACTCGATCCTGACCGTGACCTTCGATACTGTCAGTGGCTCCGCCATGTTGCACAACCGCCAGAACGACATCCAGCTGCACCCCCAGCCGGAAACCTCGAATCCGCAGTCCGTGGCCCACTTCATCAATCTGACCACCCTGGTCAACTCCATCACGCCCCTGGGAAACCAGCTCAGTGACCAGCACCCGCTCACGTGGCGGGCAGTGCCCCAAACTGCTGACGTGCTGCCGGCCCCGCAGCCACAGGCGCCCCCGCCGCAGGCCGCGCAGCCCCAGGTGCAGGCGGAGCAGCAGCAGCAGATGTACAGCTACTGAGGCACCTGGCAGAGGACTTGCGAAGGGCCCCCCAGATCGGTTTCCTTGTTTATGTTCAGATCTGTTTGCTGGATACCAAACAAAGAAAAGAAATCATACATTGCAATGTACGTAAGGTTGACTTAGCTTTTGCAGAATCATCTCCAAATCCCCTAGCAACCGTATGGTCTGCCAGCTTGACTACAGCTGGCCTGCTGTGGACGTGAGCAGGGTGCGGGCACTGCCTTGGCCAGGCAGCTGGTGGGCCGTGGCCACGCCCCCAGCCGCCCCAGCAGAGCCCGGCTGGTGGAAACCGGCTTGGGAAAGTGGCACTTCAAGAGAAGCAGGATCATAAGAGGTGAAGGCTATGTCATCAGGAGCATGAGTGGTTCGTTTTATTTTATTTTTTTAGAACTCAGTTACTGTATCAAAACATAGACAGTCTTCACGTGCGGCTACAAGCGCAGTGATGTGGAGCTTTCTCCTTGCTTCTGGGTATTTTTTGCAAGTGAGCAGGTCGAAGTTAAAGTAACATTGAGTCTCTTCTTTGACATCCGAGTTGAGTCAAACCAAGTGTATCACGGGCAAGGGGTCACGTGAGGTTGCTGACTCAGGCATAAAGGTCTCTCAATAATTTAATACGTGATTTGATTTTCAGGATCATTTTTTCTTCTTTTACATTATTTCAAGCATATATTATGTATTCAAGACTCTGTTGTGGCCATGATTTTTTTTTTCTGTTAACATGCTAAAGTCATTTGCACTGTAGGACTGTTGGTCCAGGTCCAATTCTACACAGCTGCCCGATGCACAGGGCACAGAGTGGTGTGCAACGAGGAAGCCTGGTGCTGCCCCCGCTGGTGGCACCTTTGGGTGCGGCTTCCCTGCCACCACATGCATTCGTCATGACTGAGGCTCAGCCAAAATCCCCCGAACTGAAGAACGGGGAAGAAATTCATGTGGTTTTTTTCCTGTTTAAACTGTTATTCCAAAGGTTGATGTGGTTCAAGACCAATTTTCTATACAAATGTTGAACAAGCTGCAGAAGCCTAGGTTTCTCTGAAACAATGGTACTGCTGTTTCCTGCCAGCCAGAAATGAACGCAGAGATGAGCCCACCAGCAAGCCATTCATGCCCCAGTGAGTGTGCGAGGAGACCAGCTCTACTCCCCGGACACGCCGTTCAGACGTGTGCCATCTCAGGTGGTGGGCGAGGCCGAAGTGCCCCGTCAGCCAGCCTCCCTCTGCTCGGCCAGGGAAACAGAAGAAGTTTGATCTTTACTCTCCTGATACATTTTAATGCTGTCCACAATGAAATGATAAATTTGCCTTATTTTGTCCTTGATCACTTTGTCCCAGACCCTATGTGACTTGGGAGGCCATCTTGAGGAAATACCGAGTCTGAGTCAGCGGTGGGAAATGAGGCGGGAGTCGCCGGATGTTGCCAGCGAGGCTCAGGACGATTTGTTATGCAAGAGGAATTTTCTCAGCACTTCGCTTTATTCCAAATAGCAAGGTTTTGAGGACAGGGCTGGAATCTGTTCCGTGCAATACACACTGCGTGGACCGCGGAGACCCGTCTCCCAGGCTCCCGCCTCTCCCAGCTCATCCACACGCTCGCAGCTCTCACCCCACTTGAACCAGGTGTGGGAGACTGTTTGACTTTTTAATTTATGATAATTATTTTTATGTTATTTATGTATATGATTAACTGCTTTTTACATAATAGTTTCAGCAAAGGAACTTGGGCGAGGGGTGATAGATTTTCTAAGATGCTGTCTCCTTTCTCCAGATATGGGGAGCCCAGGTTTCCACAGAATCACCCAGAGTGCCAGGGTTCCTAAGATATTTTTTAAAAATCACTGACAATTTCTTTTTTGCATTTGCAGCATATAAAGGGCAAATGACCAAGTGAAAAAAAAAAATCCAAACACGATTAAACATCTGCTAGCGTTTATCTTTTATTCTTCTTCCCTATGAAACAAATGCCTTTTAAATCACAGTTTTATTTTTTTAAAGAAATTGTGTTTGTGCCTAGAGTAAGAACACATCAGATGTTTTTAAAGACCCGAACTTGGGTGTGTGGCCCGGTGCATTACACTGTTTATTGAAATAACAGACGCATAGTAACGCTTCTTGTTACGGTAAGCAAGAATGCCAAGTGAACACGAGGTGTGTCCTGAGTTTTCCGTAGACGGGGTTGGTCCTAACAGGGTTACCGTCTGAGACAGAAGGGGTCCAGGTTGTCTTGAGCCAGTGGCTCTGGAAGTACGTGGAGGAAGCTGAAGAGCAAGAACACCGAGTTCCACTTGGCCAAGAGTCACTGACTGGATGGTTCTGCGCCTACGTCACTGGTCACTGATGGACATGTTGCATTTTTTAACCGACCCCAGGTGCACAGCTGTATCCATAGGAGGAAATGAGATCACGCCTTTGTGGCCACCAGACTCTGTGAATCCATCTTGGTTGTTCTAAGTTAATAAATCGCGAGCAGTTATCTTGGGCCTGTGAGTCTGTAACGCTGTGTCGTTCTGGCCTACGAGACGCGCGAGCCTTGCAGAGCTGACCCCACTCAGATGCCTAAATGCCGAGCTCGGCACCAGGAAGGGGCTGGGCCCCCGGATCACTGTCCAATGGGATGTGTTCTCTGCCAGGGGCCACCTCTGTGTCCCACAGGAAGCCGCCTGGCAGATTGCAGACTTGACACGTTTTCTTCCAGCTACGGTGTCCAGAGGCGTAAGGCTTGTCGCTTCCCAACGGGGGGTGGTCTCGGTGACTTTGCCATTGGTTTGGAAACGCATTAAGACTGTTTGGAGGAGTTAGTGTATTCGTGTCCCATCAGTTTGTTTAATGACAAATAAAGGTGCTGTGACCTGTGTTTTCCATCACTGGCCCTCTCCCTAACCGCCTTTTCCAAGTTGACACATTTGATGTATCTGGAGGTGTCGTCCTGCTGCCAACGACATTTTGGTTTCTCTGCGGTCCGGAACCCATGTAACATCTGGACTCCTTGCGCTGTTCTGTGAGGTCGCAGAGGCTTCCCAGGGGCCACAAAAAGGCCACAAGGAAGGGACACGTAGCATTTGTGGCAAAGCTTAGCTTGGAACAAAACAAGATGAGTAGCCAGAGAGGGGAAAGCGTAATCCAGGCGTTTCTTTGGGCTGGTGGTCTGGAACGATCCCTTATGGATCAAATGTGAAATTATATATTCTGATTTGAGGGATGGTCATTGTAAAGTTATGTGACACCTGAAATGTCATCCAGTCTCCTGAGGATTTGCACTTTGACATGTCTTGGACCCGTGAGTCATATGTTGAGAGCTTCAGGTAGCAGTTAATTTGGCCGGGGAAGGGTTCATTCATTTAACATTAAACGATTCCAAGCACCTTCTTGTGTATGCCAGGCCCGCACGTCCCTGCGCACGGTCAGAGCACCCCGGGCCGTGGAGGTGGCGAGTGCTCTTCCACTCCTGGCTCCTCAGCACCCTGTGCTTCTTGGCGAAGTCAGATCGCCACGTCGTGATTTGCTCCGCTAACAGCCACGGGCTGCACCCACCCGTGGACAGTCCTTTCACACGCATTGAAAACATCCCGACAGAAGGGGAGATGGCTGGGATATCCTCCCATCAGTTTTTAAGTCTGGCTCGAGTGCATCCTCATCAAAGGGTCCTTGCCTCACGGTGACAGGGCCGAAGGGTCATACGTGTGTGGTGAGCAGACCTCAGGTTACCCAGAAGTGGCCCTGAGCAGCCCGCACGAAGAGTTGGCTGGGACCAGCCCTCCCGCCCAAGCCCTGGGCCCCACAGTCCCCAGTGCAGGGGCTGGCATTCCCAGACAGCACCTGACACGTGGCACTCCACGTCCACGTGGCCTTGGAGCCACACGGGCCGCGCCTCCACCCACAGGCCTGCTGCCCAGTTGCTCCAGAAAGCAGGAGACCTGTAGGAGAAAGTGTCCCTTTAACGGGACATAGACCCATCCTGTGTCTTCACAGAGAGCCCGGCCCAGGACACTTCCCTGGGAAGAGGGAGGATGGAGGACACAGATGTCACTGAATTGGGCCTGTTCCATGCAGGGGACTCAGTCCTCCTGAACGCCGGTGAGCCATCAGCTTGCGTGACAATCCGGAGTGTGGCTTGAGCTCCAGAGCTTCCCTCCTGAGTGACCCTCACAGGTAGGGCCTTTCGGAGGAGACTAGACGACCCTCAGGAAGGGATGGGTGCTCTTAGGGAAGAGACCAGAGGGCTCCTCGCCCTCCGCCCTGTGAGGACGGTGACAAGGCGTCTGTGAACCAGGAATTCTGTCTACACCAGGCACCAAATCTGCCAGCACCTTGATCTTCAGCGGCCAGCCACAGAGCTGGGTTTTTGGTCTTTGTTCTTGTTTTTGTTTTGTAATCCTCACTGGAGGATATTTTTCCCACTGAATTTTAGAGAGAGAGAAATGTCAAAGTGAGAGAGACACATCGGTTGGTTGCTTCCCGCACAACCCTGGCTGGGCCCAGGGATCGAACCTGCAACCCAGGTACATGGGCGATGCTCTAACTGGCCAGGGCCACTTCTGGGTTTTTCTAAATACCACCCAATCTATGGTATTCTGTTACAGCAGCCAAGGGACGGTGTGTGTGTGTGTGTGTGTGTGTGTGCGCGCGCGCGTAATGCTGCATAAATTCACCATTGTGTTGGTTTGTGTAACTACCACCACAATCAGTATACTACATATGTCATTTTTTAAGATTGGCTTTTTTTCATTGTGCATAACACCCTTGAGATCTACCCAAGCTGTGTGTTCCTTTTGTTGCTGAGGCTGTGGTGTGACGGTACCGCAGTCTGTTTAACCTGTCACCCACCGAAGGACTTTCCTTTGGGGGTATAATGGATAGAAGCTGCTGTGAACACTGGCATGTGAAAATCTTTGTGTACATAAGTTTCCATTTCTGTAGGATAAATGCCCAGGAGAGAGGTTGCTAGAGTGAGGCTGGTACACAGATCGACGGGGGGAATGGCTGCGGAACTGCCGGACA